TTAACATTTAAAAAAAGTACAGACCCCAAACTATTGAAGAGTAGTATTAATTTAATTTATTAATTGAAGAGTAGTATTTAATTGAATGTTTTATTGACAAAAGCCACAGCTAGGGATCTGACTATCATAGAGACTCTTTTAGACCCTATAAGCATTTGCTCTCACCACCTATTCTATTTTAGGCTGTTATATAAATATGTCCAGCACAGCATCCTGACACATAAAAATGCTGTGCAAATAGATATTTTTATTAGTGGTACAAAAACTGCCAACCCTAAACTATTAACCAAAAATAGCTCTGGATACTGGCCAGCGGCTCTCTCTCTCTTAGTTAATAAACTCAGTTTTACTTCCTATATACACCTTCTATTATTTAAACATTGTTTTAAAATCTTTGGGTTTTCAGGAGTCAAAGAAAAAGCCAAATGTAAAAGATACACAACAAATACACAAATGTAAAATAGAGATCACATTGCATTCTAATTTGATGATTTTCTGCTAAAAAAAAAAATGAATCTTATTATTATCATCAATTTAGTTTTTTTTGTTTGTTTGTTTGTTTGTTTTTTCTTCCTGGAAACCATAATATTCGTAATTTAAGCAGTAAAATACTGGAATCCAAGCTGACATTTTCTTACCGAAAGTTTTCTTTACATTGTGTTTTTTTTTTTTTGCCCGTAAATCATAAAAGATTGCCACCATATTTTTCACGGTAAAATACTGGCAACCGCAGCTGCCGGTATATTACCGTAAATTTCACAGTTTTTTTTAACAGAGTGTACACTATCATTAAAATTTAACAAAATAAAATACATTAATACTCAGCAAAAAGACACATTAAAAGTGCATAATCTTATAAAATATTTATGTTTAAAAATAAATGCTGTTTTTCATCAAAGAATCCTGAAACAAAAACTCCTTTCAACAGATAATATAGGAACCATTGATAATAATAACCATTCAGTATTCATAAAAATAGTAATTGAGCAGATTATTAGAGTGATTTCTGAAGGATTATGGGAGTAATGATGCCTAAAATTCAGCTTTGATCACAGGAATAAATTACATTTTAAAACAAAACTGAATAGAAAACAGGTCTTTTAAATTGCACATTAATATTTGTACTTCATTTTTAATCAAATAAAGGCAGCCTTGTAACTGTAAATGTAACTAAATCTCTATTTGAATAACACACATGCACACTGACACAAATGTAAGTCTAATGTACATATGCCAAGCAATTATGTGTACTTATGGAAGATTACCCAACCCTCTTAACGACATCCTCAGAAAACAGTCTGTTTAATCTGAAAGAGTGTCCACAGGAGTCACTCTGTCAAACATTTACTAAAGGAAGTTATTATGGTGTTGATAAACGGAGTTTGCAGAATAACTGCATGAGAGCGGGGCACGAGGGATTGGGTGGAGGAGGTGAAGAAGCATGACCGCTTTTAGCTCTGAGTTCAACAACAACTGTTAAAACAACAAGCGCCCAAAAGCTAAATACACAGTGTGTTGCTCGTGGATACAAGCAGATCAAACAACAAACACCACTTTCGTGAGAATCGAAATACTTTAGGAATACCGTAACGTGCTGAAATATATCTGTAACGTCTCGTATCACAACTCAACATGCGTCCCGTTTCATCAGAATCGAGTGCTCAAATAATATGGTTTTTATTGCTGTTGCATCGCTGTAGTCTGCTTCGTCCAAAGTCGGACTAAGGAATATACATTGTAGTTGATATACCTTTCAAGAAGGGTTACATAGAGGTGGAGACACTCTGAAACAAAGCACGTAAATGAGGATACTGTCATGTATCGATGCTAATCCAGTCAGCCTGATTGTATGACCCATACCTTAGAGCTTAAAGGGTTAATTCACCCAAAAATGAAAATGATGTCATTAGTGACTCTCCCTCATGTCGTTCATCTTCAGAACACAGTTTAAGATATTTCCGAGAGCTTCATTGGAAATGTGTGTACGGTATGCTGTCCTTGTCCAGAAAGGAAATAAAGACATCATCAAAGTAGTCATGTGACATCAGTGGGTTAGTTACAATGTTTTGAAGCATCGAAAATACATTTTGCTCCAAAAATAACAAAAAATGCGACTTTATTCAGCATTGTGTTGTCTTCCGGTTCTGTTGTGGATCCGCGTTTGAGGGCGTGGCTTAGCCAAAGGTCAATTACATTGTACGGACACCTTAAAATTTCCGCAAATATTATATGTGCCACTGCAGAATCTGGAAAATATCCAAATAAAAACCTATGAATGATGAATAGACTCAACTGAACCATGAACTTCAGGCTGACTGAATGCACCTTAAGATGCTGTGTTTTAGCTGGCCATTACCGTTCATAAATTTAACTTAACAACCTTGGTTTATTACTTGTCCAAAATGGCCTTCCAGTTTGTTCCAGATGGTCATAAGTTGTATTGTACAGTAGTGGCTTTGGTTTTTCAAAGATGCATCGACTTACATTTCCAGAGTCTCTCACCTACTCAATTAATCATTAGCGGTTTTAATGAAGCACATTACCAGTTTGACATCGTATCGACATGTTCTTCAGTTTATGAACTAGATTTTATGAGGCTGGCTGAGTGTATGTTTAAAGAGTTTGTTTAGGTTGATGAGGTTTTATGAGGATCAGTGTAACATCCCATCCAGCGCAGTCAAGCACGCATGGGAAAGCCTAAGCAGATTCAGCAGAGCATCACGACTGGACAAAATGCCCCCAAAAATCTTTTCCACTAGACTGAACATTGAGGCTCTCGATCCTTACACATTTACTCGGCAGATTATTAATAGAAAATAAAAACTTTGTTTCCATAGCAACAGTTATAGTCCATATGGAAAGTGTCTCCTCCTGTTGCCAAGACAACCAACCCACGACGAGCTCGCAGTTGAACGATGTAGAGAGCTGTTGATCTTTCCCCAAACAAGCCTGGACAACACACCAAACTGACCTTAAGAATAGAGTTTAGCCGATACTGAAATCTCGAGAAAGAGAAACACAGACTTAATTTAACATTGGATTGGATTCTGGGACTGTTTAAAACATAATGTCTCATTAAACCTAGAGAGAAAACCAGACCATCCTAAAACTCTCCGTCCCAATCCGTTCCTGCAGACATGATGTCACTGAAGATCCCATTAACACTGAATCCAGGCCTAGGACATGGGCTCTGAGTATTCCCACTCAGAGGCCAAAGGTCATCTCACACACCAAAAATCTAAGCAAACCCCTGCTATAGCCTTTAAACCGGCTCTGAGTTAAGCGTGTGGAACAGAGTTTCCGGACATGTTGATGATATGCCGGTCAAATATCGCCTCTTAATTAGTCAAGTTAAGAGAAATCTCTCAGCTCTCATTAAAAAGATCTTTATTTGTGTTCAGAAGAAGAACGAAAGTCTTGTGGGTTTGAATTTACATGAGGATAAGAAATGAATGACAGCATTTTAATTTGTGGGTGATCTATCCCTTTAATAAAATAGTTTAAGAGCCAAAACAATAAGGAGGATCAGATCCAGATCAATGGATAACCAGTCCAGAAAGCATCTTTGTAGTAACACGCACTCAACGCACAACGGCCTGGCCAGTTTCATAAACACATGTGAGAAGTTGTGGGAATTGTTGCTCCCTGCTGAAATCTGCATATCTGGTTTGTTTTAAAGAGCTATATTCTACATATGTGTAGAGCCAGACCGATATATCGGCAGGCCGATATTATCGGCCGATATTAGGCATTTTCTAAAATATCGGTATCGGCAGTTATAATGGCTGATAAATTAATATTTCAAAAATAAAAATAAAAACGGACGAATCACGCTTCAACCATGTCGTTAGTGTTAGAGTTGTATAGTTTGTCCACCAGAGGGCGCTCTACACCGTTCCTGTTGGCAACACTCGCCACACATCCTGCAACCGGGCAGAGAGAACCAGTTATGCATTATCATATTATTTTAGTTAAAACTCATAATTAACTACAAGTGACTAATGTTATGGAAATCTGTTAATATTTTGTTCCGCGTTTCTAAAAATAAAAAAAATAATAATAATATCGGCCGATATATCGGAATATCGTTTTAAAACCAACAAATATTTGTATCGGTATCGGCCTTCAAAATCCTTTATCGGTCGGGCTTTATAGGGGTGTGTATCTTTGGGTGGCCAGGGTTCACTGCTTTTCAATTCAGAAATTATTAATGTAAATTCAAAAAAGACTCAATCCAATTTAAATGAGATTTGATTTTGATTGAGTCAGTAAACTAAACCAAATATTTCAATAATAATAATAAATTCCTCAAGGTCTCATATGTAGATAAAGAAAAAAAACGCTATATTCTAAGACCCTTTTAAATGATTTCGGTTTATCCTATAGAAATTAAATCACAATGTACAAATCCTCCCTCTGATTTCCGAATCCAAACCCGATAGCAAGTACGTGTAGTTCATTAACATTAATCAGCATAAAACATAATTTATAACATAACATAAAACATTATTTTTTTTTTGTATTTTCAATCGATTCTTTGACCCAAACAAGCTATTTACGATTTAAAAATCCATGTTTCAAGATCGATGATTATACATCAGCAGGATTAAAAAAAAACTAAAAAAAACGTATATCGTTATACCCCTAATTTACAGAAATAATTTTCGTCAAGGTTTCTTACACCAAAACCTTTGAAATGAAAAGCTTGCTTTTGCTACTGTACCTTTAAGACGTAAAAGATCTCGCTTATTTCCACATACATTATACTCTGATTCGTCAGAGTGGGCCAAATCACTAAACACTTAATGTTCCCAATTAAAAGCTTGACTTCCTAAACAAACATCATGAACATGCACTTGGAATCAAAGGGAAGTGCCACGCCCACAAAAAGATCCTCAGCCCAAAACTGCAGCATAAATATGATTAATGCCAGGAAGAAACGACGAATGCAAACATCAGCGGGATCTGCTGAGTTGGGAGGAAAACGTTCTTATACTTACGTTCCCAAAACATCTTTGAAGTCATAGATTTCCTTGATGTGCGACGTTTTCTTTTTCCAAGAGTGTCCATCCTCTCCCAATGGCATTTTGCTGCGGTCAATGATGGAAAAACTGAGAGAGGAAGAGGAAACCATTCAATTACTATACAATAAATGCTATGCTAAAGATACTACCTGACTGATCTTCCTTTAAACCTTTAGGGCCATATAGGGCTGTTCGCTTGGACCTTGCCCTCACCATGTGGAAATCTTCAGGCTTAAATGACTTGTGGTATAATTTATGAGAGTCACATGAAGACCTTTTATGAATTAAGACGTTTTACTATGTGTCAGTTATGATTCCTATTGAGACACACACGAGTTCTCCCCAGCTGTCAGTTTTTCCTTGAGCATTTCAAAGCAAGAGTCTGAAAACACACTACCAATATCTCTCAACTATCAGCCAGTTTCATTTAACTCAGGCTTCAATAAGACATGAGAATGTAAATCGAGTCAGACGCAGATACTTAAAGAATCTTGCAACGCCTGTTTGTCCACATGGGTTTATCTTCACAGAGAAAGTGCTTTTTATGGTTGTTCATTTGTACAAAGATGAAAGTTTGTCGCTTAGTTACTTAAGCATGGTGGACATAATGAATTATTAAGTCTAACATATTCTCATGACCATGTCTTTATTTTAGAGCCCGACCGATAAAGGATTTTGAAGGCCGATACTGATACAAATATTTTGGGGTTTTAAAATCCGATATATCGGCCGATATTTTTTTATTAAATATTGTTGGATTTCACACACGTGTAAAAGAAAAGCTAACTTTTTTGAACAAGATACGTTTGATACTTTTTCTCTATGTCTAAATGTTCACTCTTTGCAAGTATAACTTACATTTTACAATGCAGGGACTGTAACTAGAGATATGCTAGTTATAAATATAATAATCATTACTTTATTTAGGCAGAAAAAGTTAATTGTGGTTTCCAAGCTCATTAATGTTAGCGGTCTTCCACTGATGATAGTGGCATTAGCTAGCTTTGTGGTTAGCTAGTCTATGATGAGCCATAATTTAGCAATAGATGACATCATACTGCAAATTGTAAAACATACATTTTCAATATAACAGGCCAAGTAGAGATGATTAAAGCGAGTTTCGTCCGTTTTTATTTTATTTTTTAAATATTCATTTATCGGCCATGATAACTGCTGATACCGATATTATGGAAAATGCCTAATATCGGCCGACCGATATATCGGTCTGGCTCTACTTTATTTAAGACTTACTTAACATAAGTTATTTAACTTGTTCTATACCTGATCAAAGCTTCCACCAGAACAAAAAAGGCTCTTTCCATGTCATAATGGTGTTGAGCGAATCAATTGGTGAACCAATGATTCATTCGTTTATTCATAAAGAAAGCCATTTATTTAATTCCTGAATGAATCAGCTGTTTGAAGGAATCGAATGATTGAGTAAAAACTCAATGGTCCCTATCTTGCATCCGACGCAATGTAGCATCAGGCAAAAGTGTTGTTTTTTTTTTGCTATTTCAGCCCGACGCAATTATCATTTTCACGTCCTGCACCACATTGTTTAAATAGCAAATAGAGAGCCTAACTGTACGTTCACACCGCCGCCGACTTGAGCGTCAAAGAAGCTCTGGCCGCACTGTCAAGGACGCTTGTCAAAAAGCACGGGGAAGCTTGTTGACGCTTTGAACGCTCTGACGTTGTAGGGAGAATAAGTGTCACAACATGAAATGTAATAAACAGAAAAAAACAAGCAATATATTGAAGAAACCTTTTTTAATGACAGCATTTTTATAACCGTTTTGGTCACATTTGGTCGGGAAGAAATAGTTAGCTATTGTTATTATTATTTGTGCTCAAATCGGAGTCACATGAGCAAATTAACTGCATTCCCGCTATAAAACGAGCGTTCGTAAATATTTCAAAGAAAAGCTGCGCTCATGCGGTCCCTATAAGCAAACAACGTCATGTCATAAATGATACCAAACCAGCGGGAATCACAGCAACGGCGATTATTAGCTTCTCTTCCATTTTCTCGGAACTAATGTTTTGGTACGAACGAAAGTTTACATTGTGTGTTTCTCCGGAATCAGCCGGCGCAAAGGACGTCTATATTCCCATTGGTTGCTGGCGCTTTGCCACTGAACCGCGTCACAGCTCATTACCATAAAGTTGAGCTTCTTTCAACTTTCTGATTGACGCTCAAAACGGCCAAAACGCAACGCTGAGGAATTTGACGCTCCTTGCAGCTGAGAGAAGCCAGCTTCCATTGAAAATGAATGACTTCCGGCCGCTTTGGAAGCTCAAGTCGGCGGCGGTGTGAACGTACGGTAAGCCCCGCCCCTCTGCTTCCGGATCATGGGACCTTATTTCGGGAAAAAATATGTATGGTAGTCAATGGCGAGAGACAACTTATCTTTTTATTCCGTCTGAACTGTGCCCTGAATTACACATGTGATGTCAATTTTGAAAGTCAATAAAGTCGCAGTTTGTCATGAAACAGAAGAGTAACATTTAGTTTTATGTGAAAATCGCTCAATGAACTACAAAATGTTCGTTCAATAAAATATGTTCAATATCCAGCTTTAATTTACAATATTACACTGGAAAGATACAGTGTAACAGTTCAGTACAAGTTAGAAATATGGCTTTCATAAAAATGTGTAAATTGTGTAACTTTGCAAATCTTTAAATCCCGTTTAGTTTTGCCATTTGATTTTCAACGGTACGCTTTACAAGTGACCAAACACAGCTTTGGTGAATGTTACTTTCACTCCAAACAGCCTCAGGGACATTCGAAGATCAATACCAAAATAACATTTACGCAGCTTTGCTCATTCGGTGGCCCTGTAAGTCTTCAGCAATCACTTTCAGGGTAAACTCTGTTGTGTGTAATTTACAAAAGCATTTCTTCATGCTAAGAGTTGCCACCATCAATCCACCCCACTATACATGCCCCTAATAGACCCCTTTTGCGCTGAGTCACAGTTACGTCACGGCGCTAACTGGAGGCAAAACAAAGTGAAAACTGGAGGCGTTTAAATGAGATTTCACTATTTTTTCCTTTGCAATCCGCTGTAAAAGTATGAAAAAGGACAACATATATGGCACATTTATTTTTTTAATTTAATTTACGATATTCCATTAACAATTCACTGGAATGCACGAAGAATCTCTCGTTATTCTCCTCAAATCCTCACGTCTATTTCCATGTCTGCTTTTTATGGGTAAATGCAATTTATAATCTGTCAAAACTACGAAAATCACTTTGATATAGTGTCACGTAATGCCGATGAACATTTTTGATTGAGGCTTTTTATACATATTTGCCAACTACAGTGATATTTAACCAAAGACTCTGGCTATTTTTGGTCTGTTGAAAGTACCTTGTTGATTCTTTTACGCTTTTAAATTTCATTTTAATGTTCGATGGTTGAAGGGTGAGTCGATTATTGTCATCTCGTTGTGACACAGTTTTACCATATGGTATTCATAGAGCGAGCCTTTCACTGATTGTTTACATCACAATGGAAGTTACACCCATAATTCGCGCAAAGTGTCATGGGGCGTAGGAATAAGGTGGATTCATTCCAGTGAAATAAAATAAAATGCACAAAACGTGTCCCTGCTTGATATAGACTGTAACCACTGATGAACATATTCAGTTTTGATGAGAGAGAAAAAAACGTAGAACCTGTAACCTCTGACACGCTTGACAAAAGATCTCCCACTAGACCATTAAAGAACTCAGACAAAACTTGCGGATCGCTGCATTTATTTGCGTCACGTCTGAAATGCGCGCATCAGTGTTGGAGAAGCTACTCTGAAACTGTAGTTTGACAAGCTACTCGTAAAGTTAAAGTAGTTAAACTTGAGTTTGAAAAAATTAGTTTGTAATCTAACAAGAAGAAGAATATCCTTGCATCGCGCTGATTCGCGAGGGCTCGACAAACGAAAACTTTTGCTCGCGCCACACCGTTTAAAAAGCAACTGAGCTACCGCCAAGCTACTGAAAAAATGTAGTTAAGTTAGTAGCGTCGCTACTTGTTAGTAGTTAACTACTCCCCAACACTGGTCTACATGCTATGTTGTTGTTGTTGATGTGTGTGACGTAGTTGCCAAAAAGCATGTTGTGATTCTCGCAAGATCCTGTTTTTTCCAGCGGCGCCCCCCCCGAGCTTTACTACCAGAATGATTCGCCCTACTATGAGTTTGTTTACCACACGAAAGTCTGATGGGGTTGAACAACACGAGGGAGAGTCATTACTGACAGAGTTTACATTTTGGGGTGAACTATCCCTTTAAGGAGATGGTCCAAATCTTGTTACCTAATGCCAACCGTAATCATCTGCTGTGCTGTTTTTGGCGACGTGGTCTAGTGTATTCTTTTAATGTGATGACAATGTTTCCATGGGAACCCGGTGATCCGCGGTGTGTCTGGATCCAAATGGCAGGCTAACAGAGCAGCTGCACTGGGATCTCGGGTGGTTTAGGCATTCAGTTTGGGTAAACACGCTAAACTGTTTGAATGTTTGTGTTTAGGGAAGGCTGTCTCACCAGTAAACCTCTGTGTTAATTGATTCTTAATCGGGAGACAGTGCATTTCCTCTTTCCTAAAACAGAAGTTGTGCAAAACTGTAGAAATATGTTGAGCAATGTCACATTGCCATGTTAGACATCTCAACATATCTAAATCTGTCCTACATATAATAATGTTCCGGGTTCAGTAAGAGAATAGTCCAGCACCTTATACAAATGTCAATGACATGAAGCTCATTTTTATCTCGATCCATAATTATAGTCAAAAGTACATTAACATGCAACAAATTATATGATGCAAATGTTTTTCATTTCTGAATAGAAATTTTGAAAAGGTATAGACTAGAGTGATAATATAACACTAAGCTGACATGAAGTAGATGAAGGACATACACCTTGTTAAAAGAAAGAAAATGTTTGGTCTTTTATTTTTTTTAGTGAAGCAAATATTTGAAAAACTGTGTTTCCCCCGCCAAATCATGCAATGGGAAATGTGGTGTGACCAACGTGCAAAAACATGCAGGAAATGAAAAAGTAAAACAGAAAATGATGTAATAGAGACGAGGACACCCTATGGGCAATAGTTCTCCTAAATATCTGATCATTTGACCTTTATAGTGCAAAATAAGTTAGGTTTGCATATAGTATAGGCTACCCCCCCTCAAAAAACATAATGATATTTATGAAATAATAATTCATGATAAAAAAGTGTACACTTTAAAAAATGATGGGTTGTTTCAACTTCAACCCAAATTTGGGTCAAATATGGACAAACTTGGTCGTTTTTTAAATGTTTAACCCAACGGTTGGGTTTCTCCATATTTGACCCAAATTTACATGAAAACATCCCAGCATTCACATCACGTATTCAAAATGTGAGGATACGTTTTTATTTTTACATACAATATTTTTTTTATACACTCTAAAAAATGCTGGGGTGTTTCAACCCAAATTTGGGTAAAATATGGACAAACCCAAATGTTGGGTTAAAAATCCAACATAAATAAAAAAATTTACAGGGGTTAAAATTTGAAATTACACTTTTAACCCAACACTTGGATTTGTCCTTATTTATTATTACAGCATTGTTTAGAGAGTGTACTCTAGATTTAGACTGAAAACCACCATCTATTTTTCTTTTCTTCTAGAAAAAATAAATAAATAAATGAAATAAAAAAAACTCTGTTTTATCCGCACAGACACGGATCAGATGTAAACTAATCATCATAAATATCATCATGTTTTGAGTTTGTGGTATACTTGAAGTCATTGCATAACTAAATAGACTCAATAAAAATTGATTTCACAAAGTACATTACCGTAATAATTGAAATCCGAATTGGTTTATAAATGGTGCAATCACACTTTTGCTTTAACATTCATCAAATAAATGGATCCTTTTATTGTGGAAGACTTTGGTCTAATCAAAACCAAGAAATCTGATAGGCTACCAACATTTAAATGGGCTATAGTGTATAAATGAATGATCGTCCCAAAGACGCACTCAAACAAAGGTACGAGTACATCTGTAATCAAAAGGGTATCACAAAGGAGAATTTAACCAAATATGTTTCTTTTTAAAACCGCACTGGTATACTTCCTTAAAACTTCTGCATTACAGACAGATGGCAAGCTCAAAACAGCAAAGAAGGAGTGCAGGAATTAAACGTGATGACGCCTAACATGTGCACATGCAAAAGAGACGGACGGGAGACATTCAATTCCCTCGATTGACAAACTTATTTTCTCGTTGAGAATCACCAGAGCATCCAGTCACATGACTGAGTTACAGGCATCCAATTCAAAGGCATCCAAAATCTCAGGCGAGAAGTTTTAAGAGTCGTATACACATCACTGCATCATGACAAAGGCCCGGTAGGTATTTTAGATCTCTACACATGCAGGTCCAGCAGTAAAGGGGTTTCAGTTCATCGTTTGTTAGTGAGGAACCACATAAAGGTCAGGAAATATATATAAGCTACAAACTAACCCACGTACAAAGGAGAAGAATCATAAGGCAAGCTTGAACAGACACATCCATACAACTCTACCATCTCTAGATCATCATGCAGCATTCATAATGTTTTGAGTTCAGATGGAGATACTCACTGGTTTCCCATGGCTGCTCAAAAGAGGACAAAAGAGATACAGGGTGACAAGCTAAACCTTCAGTGGGTCATCACATCACATTCGCGCTGACAGAGCCTGTCACGGACGCTCATGACCACAAACTGAGCTTCCCCTTTTAAGGTGAGCTATCTAACCACACCATAACTCAAACTCAGGAAGTATAGAGCTTATATACACATGGGGGTAGCCGAAGCGAGCTTTCTCTCGCCCTGAAAAGGGCCTCCGCTGCAGGATGTGCAACTCCAGGCTTTCTGTTTATAAGGTTTCAAAACCTACAGTTAGAAATTAAACCAATTGACATACTCCTGAAACTTGGGGAAGATTATGTGTGTGGAATATGCAGGTATGCAGTGTGGAAGCGTATTGCATTCACTTGAAGTAAAAAAATTTACACTCTAAACAATGCTGGGTTGTTTTAACCCAACTTTGGGTCAAATATGGACAAACCCATCATTTGGGTTGGTCCATATTTGACCCAAAATTGTAACACTCTTAAAAAATGCTGGGTTGTTTTAACCCAATTTTGGTTCGAATATGGACAAACACAGCCGTTGGGTTACATTTTTAAATGACATTTTTAACCCAACATTTGGGTTTGTCCATATTTGACCCAAAATTGTAACACTCTAAAGAATGCTGGGTTGTTTTAACCCAATTTAGGTTCAAATATGGACAAACCCAAACATTGGGTTACATTTTTCAATAACATTTTTAACCCAACATTTGGGTTTGTCCATATTTGACCCAAAATTGTAACGCTCTTAAAAAATGCTGGGTTGTTTTAACCCAATTTTGGTTCGAATATGGACAAACCCAGACATTGGGTTACATTTTTAAATTACATTTTTAACCCAACGTTTGGGTTTGTCCATATTTGACCCAAATTTGTAACACTCTAAAAATGCTGGGTTGTTTTAACCCAATTTTGGTTCAAATATGGACAAACCCAGCCATTGGGTTACATTTTTCAATAACACTCTAACCCTAACCCTAACCCTAACCCTAACCCAACATTTGGGTTTGTCCATATTTGACCCAAAATTGTAACACTCTAAAAAATGCTGGGTTGTTTTAACCCAATTTTGGTTCAAATATGGACAAACCCAGCCATTGGGTTACATTTTTCTATAACATTTTTAACCCAATGTTTGGGTTTGTCCATATTTGACCCAAATTTGTAACACTCTTAAAAAATGCTGGGTTGTTTTAACCCAATTTTGGTTCGAATATGGACAAACCCAGACATTGGGTTACATTTTTCAATAACATTTTTAACCCAACATTTGGGTTTGTCCATATTTGACCCAAATTTGTAAAATGCTGGGTTGTTTTAACCCAATTTTGGTTCAAATATGGACAAACCCAGCCATTGGGTTACATTTTTCAATAACATTTTTAACCCAACATTTGGGTTTGTCCATATTTGACCCAAAATTGTAACACTCTAAAAAATGCTGGGTTGTTTTAACCCAATTTTGGGTAAAATATGGACAAACTCAAACATTGGGTTGTAATTTAAATGTAATTTAAAAATGTAACCCAATGGCTGGGTTTGTCCATATTTGAACCAAAATTGGGTAAAAACAACCCAGCATTTTTTAGAGTGTTGCAATTTTGGGTCAAATATGGACAAACCCAAATGTCGGGTTTGTCAATATTTGAATGTAATGTAAAAATTTAACCCAACAGCTGGGTTTGCCCATGTTTGACCCAAAGTTGGGTTAAAACAATCCAGCATTTTTTAGAGTGTAGGGGTGTAACAATAATATCATGCCACAATATATCGCAATACAAAAATACAACAATATGTATCGTAGATCGTTCCCCAAAATTACAAATTACTGTGTGAGAAAAGTTTTAGTGTCAGTACTACACTACACTACTATGTTGATTATAATGTATAATAAATGTTATGGAGGAATATTTGTGGCTCCTGATAATGCTAAGTGACTTATGTAACTTGACCAGTAAAAAGTGTCCAACATTATGTTAAATACACTCTAAACAATGCTGGGTTGTTTGGGTCAAATATGGACAAACCCAAATGTTGGGTTAAAAATGTCATTAAAAAAGTGTACTGTTGAAAGTGAAAGTTGAAGTTGGGTTAACATTTTAAATGAACTTTTTAAGTAACCCAACATTTGGGTTTGTCCATATTTGACCCAATTTTGTGTTCAAACAACCCAGCATTGTCTAGTCAGAAAAAGTGCAAGAATATTCGTCTAAAATCATTATTTCAGCTTCAGAATCATGAATATTGTTATTCTGGAGTCTCCATTGTCCTTGGGAGTGCAAACCTATTCATTTAAACCCACAATGTAATATCAAAGTTAGCATTTTAATCAACAGTACATTTTTTGTTAACCTTTTACCACATGTCTTGGAGTATCGCATTAATATCGTATCGTTTTATGTATCGAATCGTGACATGAGGATATCATTACACCCCTAATTATCTGTGAATAATAGCTTTTGGTCTATTCCCTTAGGCGAATATCGCAAGTCGTATGGAGTTTATTAGAATTGGTAACAATGAAGCTGCATCATTTTAATCAAACTACTAAAAATGTCATCCGATAATCACAATAACCTTTGTCCTTTGCACTTCCGATATGGAACAAAGTCTCAGCTTTCAAATAATGTCAATATTACCATGAAATTTAAACAATAAATGTCGTTTTGTGGTGTTTCTTGTGTTGAGACAGATCGATTAGACATCTGAGATCAAGTAGCAGAACTGATCATCTCTTCCTCTTTTCTAGTTACAGCACAAAATAAACATAAATGAACAGCAGAATGTTGAAAGAAACTGTACTATGTCTCATGTAATCCTTCAATCAGTGTTTCGACTGCAGAAGGACATCAGTAAAAATACTGGCAAACAATGTCACATAATATTACATTTATCTCAGGAAAGCCATCTTTCCAACGTTTTTATGACAGTGTATAAATGTTTATATTAATGGAGTTGAAAATGTACATTTAGAAACTGCCTTAGGTGCCATTTAAATGTTTGTATAAAACTCAATATTTTATTTTTGATTATTATATTTTGAACCAACTGACAGGGTTCGCTGTATCGCTACTGATTCATTTGAGAGTGAATTTTTTCCTTATACAACTATCCAAATTAATCAAATTGATCCCTCTTAAAGGGATACATCACCTCTGGAAAGATGAATGTGTATTTAAAATGGGTCATTTATGTAGAAGAAATGTGAAATTATTTTTGAATTTGGAGCTTTCTAGAGTGAGAAAAGCCAGAAAATGTATTTTTGGCTTATGTGGATGAAAGACAACAACTCCCAGAATGCACTTGCTTCGCTGCCCTAGGAGGCCACGCCTACCGCTAACAGAGCGCAGTCGTTAAACAACAAGTCTAGGCTACTAATGAGTCTCCGCGATGAGTCTGCCACTGTCGTCTTTAGGCGGTGTTTCCACCAAAGCGTTTTTAGCTGAAACCGCTAGCCGCTCTGCTGAAGACGCTGTGTTGTTGAGAGCATTTTGTCAGCGCAGCGTTTTTTCCGTTGAGACGTTAGATTGCCATGACACAGAATATCCGCAGCACAGTTTATTGTAACTGATTTCGCAGATAATTTGTTTCGTACTAAAAATGTATTTTTTATCCATGTTGTTCGGTTAGCTCTGCTGGTTGATGTTGTTGTACAGAAAGAATGTTGTGACAGTTGGTCAGTGCAGTTTAGCCCCGCCCCTCCTCCACTCTGATTGGACAGGTGGGTAAAAAGTTACAGTGATGAGCGCTGCGTTTTACCCAAAGATGAACATTTTTCAACTCTCGCCGACCTGTAAAAAACGTTGGGCGCTCGGCGCTTCAGCGTGAAAAAAAACGTTCAGCTCCTCGTTACGCTCGTGGCGTTTAAAAAACGTGGCGCTCCTATTGAAAACAATTGAAGCGGCCTTAGCCTCTGGACAAAACATCCTCCGATGACGCAAAATGACGATTTTTGCGTCATCGCAGGATTTTTTTTCCAGACCAAAAATACATAAACCTCTCGACTCAGGAGGATATGAGGGTGGAAAGCACGGTAATTCGATACAGGTTTTCTACTAATACTAATGCTAAATCCTGAAGTATCCCTTTAATTACAGCACCATCACGACTAGAGCCCGACCGATAAAGGATTTTGAAGGCCGATACCGATACAAATATCTGTTGGTATTAAAATCCGATATTCCGATATATCGGCCGATATTCTTTTTTTCCAGAAACACGCAACAAAACATTAACAGATTTCCCTAACATTAGTAGTTACTATTTGTAGTTATTTATGTGTTTTTTTTAACTAAAATAATATGATAATGCATTTTAAAAAGAAACTTGTTTCTTTTATTGTCACAACAGAACAGACTGATGATAGTGGCATTAGCTAGCTTTATGGTTAGCTAGTCTATGATGAGCCATAATTTAGCAAATGAATAACGTCATACTGCAAATTCTAAAACATACATTTTCAATATAACAGGGCAAGTAGAGATGATACGTCTCATTGCTATAACCGTCACGCGCTAGTAAAGAAATACTTCAGTCACATGGTCAAAAGTTAAAAGGACAACTTAACATAATTATTATTATTATAAAAATTTAACAGCAGCAAAACAGGACATGATAGTCACAAATTTTGTCATGTTTATTTGAGAACTGATGGGGATGTTCTTTTAATTGTTATTCAAGCAACGAATGTCTCGTGACCAACTCAACGAGTGTTGCCAACAGGGACGGTGTAGAGTGCCCTCTGGTGGACAAACTATACAACTCCGTGTTTCGTCCGTTTTTATTTTATTTTTGAAATATTCATTTATCGGCCATTATAACTGCCGATACCGATGCCTAATATCGGCCGATAATATCGGCCTGCCAATATATCGGTCTGGCTCTAATCACGACTAGCTATATATATATATTTTTTTGCTCCCGTAGGCTTCCACCGACACACGGCACCCTCAGCACGACATTAAAGGGAAGTGAATGCGATGTGAAAGCACAGGGAAGTTAAGCAGCCACTTTGTAACTGTTTCAGAACACTTAAACGCATGACTTTATTTCCTCCTACAGCCTAGTACAGAACTGCAATGCAAACGAAGGCTTTGCAAAGAGGAAGACTAACCAGCCCTAACATTCAAGCGTCTATCTGCACATCACGATCACATTCTGGCTGTCACAACCGCTGATAAAGACTACATCTAGTCTAGTACAGCAACTGCTCAAACAATAGGCTGTTATTGACTACATGCGATATCATTCATTGCTAAAACCGACGGGCTGTCTGAAGCGAGGGAATCAAACAGTCAAAGCGCTTTAATAATGTCAGGATTGGCTGTGCTGAGTGGCAAAGAGGACGAAATAGCACAAGAATGCTGAAAGAAATGCTAACAGACTGAAAGAGAACGAGCACACATGTGGAAGCACTTGAACGACTGGTTAAAAGAAACAGATGCTATGTTGAGATAAGATAACAGTGATGAAACCAAAATATTACGCCGTTTCAGACTATTAGAAGCTAAGTTTGTCCTTGTATGGTCAGAAACTGAGCAGTTTTGTGGTTTCAAATATTTGTCATGTAATACAGTTTTATTTCCCTTTTCTTCTAAATTAATTTTTATTGGGATGAGCAACACATTCGTGGTCACATATCGGCTGATAATGTTTAAATGCTTAATATTTGTACGTTATCATTGTCTGTCGCATAAAAAAAGTATGTTATATATTAGAAAAGTTGCACTGTAAAAATGAATATGCTTTATCGAAATTAGAATTGAGTGATAATTAATCAAATTAATTCCTTAAAAGTTAACCATTTAAAATGAGTAAAACTTACAACAACAACCAAAAAAACATAAATTTAAGTCACCATTATGGTGATCGGTATTTGTTTTAAAATGACGGTTTTGTCCTTCAGTGATTCTGCTTGTTAACATCAGGTGTCTTCAATGTTGGCAATATAATATAAATAGTTCTTAATTAATCTTTGACGTCTGTCTGTTATTCAGATATTTTTGTTACATTTTTGGGTGTAAACTTTACTCATTTTAAATGGTTAACTTTTAAGGAATTAATTTGAATACTTATTACTTGATTCTAATTTGTTAAATTTAATTAATAATATTGCTTGTAATCTGTAGCCACAATTGTATTGATTAGATAAAGCATATCAATTTTTACAGTGTGGTTCAAATAGACTAAATTATGTCAAATATTTTTGGGGGCGAAAAAACGACTTTTTGTAAGGTTAAGATTTCCAAATAAAAGAGGTTGTACATACATGCTTTGATATAATTTGAAGTCTTGGGCATTATGGTGTTGGTGAGGCTTTTGTTTTGAAATATTTACATCAAAATGCTTCTTTATCGTGTATTTATTTTCGTCGTGAGTGGCAAAAAGACTGAGCGGCTGTATGTGTTCAGCGTGAATGCCGCGAAAAACAAACACAACACATACAGTATAAAGTGGAAAAGAGCTTTGCGATTGACTCTACAACTAGATTTGACAGAAAATCAGAGGTATGTTTTTACAGACTGCTAGAAAGAGGAGCAAATAGATCGCTGCAATTCACAGAAACAACTGGACTTCAGTCAGCGAAAGGTGGATTTGAAGTTATCATTTTGTGTCAATATGCTGAATTTAGCTGTAAAACCATACCCATATATTTAGTATTGTTATATATATTAACAACTCATCAATTAAATATTTATCATTCCATATTCTGCATTATTGGATGTTTTTGAATAAACACTGACTTAAAAAACAAACTAAAGTTTTAGGGCTGGACGATGATGATATATAGGCTATAACACTGATATAAGTGATCACATGGATTTAGACCTATTGTATTTATATACAGCCTTCACAGGTAAATTTGCTTTATGTTTATGTCTATATTGCTTTTATTTCCCTGGTGTTGAAATCAGGCAAACATAAATGTCAGGCAACACGATTTCTAGCTGCATGTCGATATCCATGGATAACTGGATCTTTAGTAAGTTGTAAGGAACACTATATTGAGTCCAACATTTAGTTTAAATTGATGAAGTTGTTTGTTTTAGTCGCATTTTCGCAGTTTCCCCTATTAAATCCAGTCACGCAGCAGATCTTTTGCCACTCAGGGTTGTTCCGGCGGGAAAGTGACATCAATGTATTCTCTCTAGTCTCTATACTAAGTTGTAGATGGTTGCCAGGGTGTTGCTAGGTGGTTACATAATGGTGCATATCTTTAGAAATGGCTTTGATTTCTGTTTATAGCCTTTGGGATTTACATTTCTTAGAAAAATGTTAGCATATCATTCATCAAAAAGCCACAAAAAAACAAAACAAAAAAAAACAAACAAACAAACAATTAAAAGTTTGGGTCGAAAATGTTTTTTTTTTTAAGTCTCTTCTGCTCACCATGGCTGCATTTATTTGATAAAAAATACAGTAAAAACAGTAATATTGTGAAATATTATTCAAATTTCAAAGAACTGTTTTCTATTAGAATATATTCAAAAAATGTAATTTATTCCTGTGATCAAAGCTGCATTTTCATCATCATTATACTCCAGTCTTCAGTGTCACATTCCTGGCTGCATGTCAATATCCATGGATCACTGGATCTTTAGTAAGTTGTAAGGAACACTATATTGAGTCCAACATTTAGTTTAAATTGATAAAATTGTTCGTTTTAGTCGCATTTTCGCAGTTTCCCCTATTAAATCCAGTCACGCAGCAGATCTTTTGCCACTCGGTTAGGCTGAGGGGGGTTGTTCCGGCGGGAAAGTGACGTCAACGCATTCCCTGATTGGTTATGATGTCAACCAAAGTTCCATATCGATTCATCTCTAATATTTTTGCATCTCTCTGACCTATCGGATGGAACAGGCCATGTTTGCTATGTCAAATATGAAGAGATAAAGCACTGTGCTGTGATCGTTTTTCAGACAACAGTCTGACAAGTTCACTCAACAATTCGTGCAAAATGTGCAATTTAAACTGTTCAACTCAGACTGAAAAGATCAGGGATCCTCTTTAAAATAACTTCAATTGCTTATTTCTCCCACTGAGATTCTTCAAGTGCGGTGAGAGAAACAAATAAAATATAATCATGTTCCATTTTACACTTATTGCTATCATTAGTTAGCCTAGTATTCTGATATTAGGAATAAAGCATTGTTCACAAACCGAAAGCATGTGTCAACTATTGCAGGTGTTGATAGATTTAATAGTCACATAACAGTTATGAAAACTATTACCGCAACATGGAATGACATGGACTGTCAGGGAATCAGCTAACAACAAAGCCTGCTGGCTGATAAACGCAAACGCAAACGATAATTTTATATTTTAATTTAATATTCATTTGTCTGACGTCAGAATTCTGCGGAAGTTCATTTTAATATATATATATATATATATATATATATGCAATACTATTGTATTGCATAGGCTACTCTGCAAGTTTAAAACTCAAAATATATCCCCTTGGGTATATTGTATTGCATTGAGTATGCAATACAATAGTAAAATCGTTTTGATGCCTCATATGACAACTTAAAACATTTATTGTTTCTGTTCTCCATCCTTTGGTTTTCTTAAAGCAGTTATCTGTCAAAGTTTCAGAATGTTCAAAGACTTCGAGTGGTAAACCACATCCACCCTGTGAATGAGTGAGATAACTCATCATCATCAGCTCTAATGCAACACTGTAAGCTCTTAATCTGGTGGACCAGCCTGCATTGGCGAAGTGCAGAGTTATTATTAATGTGCATCATCATCATTACTAATAATATTAAAAGTTTAATGCACATTGTGAACATGCATGCATGCATACATTACATGACATCAATACATTAAACCAGCATTACAGGCTACTAAAAAGAAAGCGAAAAAAAACAGCAGCAGTTATCCATCACGCACAGCTGTCCTGAACATTTCGTGTAAAATAGAAAGTTAAATGTGTATACCTGTGCTGTGTGTCGGCGAGGTGTGAGGCGCGTCTCGTGCTGTATTGTGGACGCGTTTGCGCTCGCGCTCGAGATCTGACTGACTGCTGGTTCCTCGCGCTGACCCAGTCTCAGTGCGCGCCTGACGTCACAGCTCTGCGCCAATCAGAGGACAGAGATCGCTGAATCAGGTAATGGAGGCGGGGTTGGGTCTGTCTGACTCGCTGTTCCCAGAATTTGATCTGGAATTATCTAATATCCTTATTCCCTGGAGCTCAGGATGTGCTGATGGGGACGTTTGTTTAAGAAAATCTCTCCTGATGTCTCTCGATGTCTTGATATAAGTGAATATGTAGCCTATATAGGTAATACACATAAATATGCACTGTGTAGTCGTGCATTTCAAAGTAATTTAATCACATTTCCCTTGAAAAAAGTAAAGTTTACTATTTATTTTTAAAAAAGTCAAGTTTACTATTTATTTAAGGTTACTATATATTTTTTTGAAATGTAGTTACTTTTTATAATTGCATTAAATGCTGTATAGACTGTAGGCTTTAGAACAAAACAATAGTGGATTTAATGTGTAACGGCTGATGTTAAAATGTTTGTATCTTCTCCCTTTGAATACTTTGGTCAGTTCAAGGATAACTTTTGAAATTTTATATCGTTTATTTGAAAGAAGCAGAAAAGAGCAGTTTAATGTCTATCCTTGTATTGTTCAACTGGTCAATGATGATATGGGATTTATAGAGATAGAAGAAACAAGTGATGCATATATATATATATATATTTGCATCACTTGTTTTTTCTTTATAAATATACACTGTCAGAAAAAAAGGTACGAAAGCTGTTACTGGGGCGGTACCTTTTCAAAAAGGTACACTTTTGTACCTAAAGGGTGCATATTGGTACCTTCATGGTACATATTTGTACAATTATGGTACCAATATGCACCCTTTAGGTACAAAAGTGTACCTTTTGAAAAGGTACCGCCCCAGTAACAGCTTTCGTACCTTTTTTTCTGATATATAAAATGTGTAGAGTATATAGGCTATAAAAGCTATGAAAAGGCTTGGATAGTAAATCCTTTACTAGGATATTCCAAATGTGACTTAACAATTGATGTTCCATAATTTTATATCGTTTATTTGAAAGAATTAAAAATTATGTCTATCCTTGTATTGTTCAACTGGTCAATGATATGGCATTTAGAGAGAATGAAGAAACAAGTGCAAATATATATATATATATATATATATATATATATATATATATAATGTGTAGAGTATACATACAAGCTTTGCTTGGATAGTAAATCCTTTACTAGGATATTCAAAATGTGACTTAACAATTGATGTTCCTTCATTCACCGCTTGAATTTTAATATATATATATATATATATATATATATATATATATATATATATATATATATATATTGTATAACTTTGTTGTTTGTTCAACTGTCAGATGGTTGTACTTGTCTTCTCTTGACCCAACGAATGTGTCCAGTAATGCATGAATAAAAACATTCCGCCACCTACTGGTAAAACTTATGTTTACCTTTGCTTATACTTTATTTCTACTACTTTAAACTTCAAATTTACAATATGTGGAAGACAAAATAAGTATAATATGAATCGTAATTACATTTATAGCCTATATATAACGATAAATATGCAATGCACATCATTTAAAATTTTGTACAAGTTCTCTAATCGTCTTTGTCACGTGTCGCTGAGCCTCTAGAGGGCGCTGTGTTGAAACTGAACACACATTAAACCGGAGTGTGTAGAGTTAACGCGGAGTGTGTTGCCTGGTGACGCCGAAGCCGAGTTCGCTGTTTCCTGCAACCTCTGTCACCCGAAACAAGTTTCAAACAGACAAATCACCGTCGATGCATTGAGGATAACGCGCTCACTTTACTCGCACTCCTGTGGAGGGGCTTAAACACTCGCTATGTGATACAGAGAGCATCTCCGGAAGAGGATCATGGACAGTTACTTGTTCGTTCGAGTTGTGGGGAAGGGGAGCTACGGAGAGGTGAACCTGGTCAGACACAAATCAGACCGTAAACAGGTACGGGAACGGGAAAGAGTCACCGAATCACAACACACGTCTTAGTTCATATCAGATTGTGTGTTGTTGTTGTTTTCACTGCTGAGAGTTATAGCCTCTTCCATAATGTCTAATTATTGAATTTACAGATTTTAATAAAAAGTGTAGGAATGTACTATTGTATGATGCATTAGTTAACACAAACTAACAATTAACAACACTTCGACATCATTCATTAATCTTAGTTAATGTTAATTTGCCAATACATGATTAAAATCAAATGTTGTGTTAGCATTGGTTGATGCACTTTGAACTAACATGAACAAAACTGTTAACTAACATTAACAAAGATTAATTAATACTGTAACAATACTGTCATTTTTTAACAAATGTATTGCAAATGTATTGTAATTCAGGTTAAAAATGTATTAACTAATTATAACAAATGAGACCTTATTGTAATTTGTTACCAAAATTCCTTTTATGTAACACTTATATATATATATATAAATATACATATAAAACAGGCAAATTATGAGCTTATAAGATAAATCTTATCAGAGTGATCATGAATATGTATGAATATATGAATCAGATCAATCTGTTAAGCATATAGGCCTAAAGCAATGTTTTAAGTGTTCTTATTGTTTGACTAATTACAATAAAGGTAGTTGACATCCTGCTTTGTATAATGATCTAAAACTATTTGAAACAATTTTGAACAGCATTTTTTCTTGTAAATTAAGTTTAAATTAAAATTTGATTGAATTCATTTTCATACATACCATTTAATTACTTATTTATTGTTGTTTGTCAAGCAGGACCATTTAAAGTCGACATAAAACAAAAGTTTTCTTGCCTATTTTGACGATTATCTGCTTCTTCAGCGAGATCAAATGTGGGCGGGGCTTGATTCTGTACATTGGGAATTCATTGGGTGGTTGTGGCTTGCTATTGGTGGATCTCATGTGAGTGACAGGTTGTCTCTGCAAGAGGGAGGTGAAGATATTTAAAGATTATGAGGGAAAATGTATGTAAAAAATTCGTCATGGATAAATCATTTATAATAAGTACTGCAATGTTCCATAAAGAATAGGAATTGTCAATTTTGATTTCATGGTGATTTTAAATATACTCACAAAAATGATTAAAGTTGGTGAAAACCTTAATACATATACTTTCCTTTATACAAACTGAAAATAATGGAGATTTGGAAAATATGATTGCTGATATGTTCCGTTCCTTCTTTGCACAACACACTTTAAATTGTCTTCCTGAAGGGATAGTTCACTCCAAAACGATGTACTTACCCTCAAGTTGTTCCAAACCTGTATGAGTTTCTTTCTTCGGATGAACACAAAGGAAGATATTTTGAAGAATGTCAGTAACGAGACAGTTGATGGACCCCATTGACGTCCATAGCAGGAAAAAAGAATACTATGGACGTCAATGGGGTCCATTTATTTACTGACATTCTGAACAGGGATAGTTCACCCAAAAATGCAAACTCTGTCAGTAATGAGTCTCCCTCATGTTGTTCAGCCCCGTAAGACTTTCGTTCATCTTCGGAACACAAATGAAGATATTTGTGATTAAATCTGAGTGCTGGATCACTCCTCCATAGGCTTCTTAAGGGATCGAAACTGGCCGGCCCAAAACTTATGAAAGACATAAAATAGTCCGAGTGACGACAGCAGCTCAACCTGAAAGGAGTAGTTCACTTTTCAAAAAACTTTTGCTGATAATTTACTCACCCCCGTGTCATCCAAGATGTCCATGTCTTTCTTTCTCCAGTCGAAAAGAAATTAAGGTTTTTGATGAAAACATTCCAGGATTTTCTCCATATAATGGACTTCAATGGGGTCCAAACGGTTCAAGGTCCAAAAGACACTTTCGGTACAAACTGCAAACTGTTCAAAGGGCTTTAAACGATTCCAGACGTCTCATCAAGCAAAACGTTATTAATAATTAATAAATAAATAACAAAGTTTAAGTTTTATAAGCTCAAATGCTCGCCTTGCTCTGTTCTGTGATGCGCGTTCGTGACTCTCCTGTTCGAACTCGTTCATCAAAATGAACAAATCTTTTTCTGAGTCAATTCGTTTGTTTCGTTATTTGAATGAACCAAATGACTCGGAAAAAGATTTGTTCATTTTGATGAACGAGTTCGAACAGGAGAGTCACGAAAGCGCATCACAGAACAGAGCAAGGCGAGCATTTGAGCTTATAAAACTTAAACTTTGTTATTTATTTATTAATTGAGCGTTTCACTTGAAAAAACCATTATTCATCGTCTGGTGTCGTTTAAAGCCTTTTGAAGCTGCACTGAAACTGTCTTTTGGACCTTGAACCGTTTGGTCCCCATTGAAGTCCATTATATGGAGAAAATCCTGGAATGTTTTCATCAAAAACCTTAATTTCTTTTCCACTGAAGAAAGAAAGACATGGACATCTTGGATGACACGGGGGTGAGTAAATTATCAGCAAAAGTTTTTTTCAAAAGTGAACTACTCCTTTAAGAAGCCCATGGAGGAGTGATCCAGCTCTCAGATTTAATTTGAAGTGAACTAATCCTTTAAAATGTAGACATTTTCCATAGGATTCATGTCTAATGTGCCAAGTTGTCTGGTTTTGGCAGTATGTGATCAAGAAGCTGAACCTGAGAACATCCTCCAGACGTGAACGGCGAGCCGCGGAGCAAGAGGCACAGCTCCTCTCTCAGCTCAAGCATCCCAACATAGTCACATACCGGGAATCGTGGGAAGGCGAGGACTGCCAGCTGTACATCGTGATGGGTTTCTGTGAGGGAGGAGATCTGTACCACAGACTCAAGCTGCAGAAGGGAGAACTGCTGCCCGAGAGACAGGTGGTGGAGTGGTTTGTTCAGATAGCCATGGCCCTTCAGGTACGTCCATATCCATCAGTCTGGCCAATCGAAGTTTCAGCTGAATAATAAAGCCTTTGCCTTTTCTTAATATCCGTAGTATTTACACGAGAAGCACATCCTGCATCGAGATCTGAAAACACAGAATATTTTCTTGACCAAAACCAATATAATCAAAGTGGGCGATCTGGGCATCGCACGGGTCTTGGAGAACCAGAACGACATGGCCAGCACTCTGATCGGCACACCGTACTACATGAGTCCAGAACTCTTCTCCAACAAACCTTACAACTACAAGGTACGGCATGCTCACAATGACCGCTAGTGCAACGATCAAAAGTGGCGTTGCGTTATCACTTTTTAACGCGTGCATATGGTGACGCAAAAGTGTGTGAAATTTGATGTAGTATGCACTCCAGGCGGCTAGGTGGCGATGTGAAGCACTGCCACACAACAACATCAAGTCCGCGCGCCTGCGTACAACCTTCACTGTCCATTTTCTTAAATGTATACATGCATGTGTGTGTATATATGAAGAGTTCAGATGCAAAAGCCTCTAAATGCCATTTGAAATTTTCTTCTTTAATGATGATTTTTATCAAACTTGTATATTTAAGTTCAGTAATTTCACTTAAATGGCAATGATAATTACCTATTAATTGTTATTTAAGTGAAATTACTGAACTTAAATATACAAGTTTGATAAAAAATCATCATTAAAGAAGAAAATTTCAAATGGCATTTAGAGGCTTTTGCATCTGAACTCTTCATATATACACAATAATTATACACAGCACACACGCATATATTGTTGTGTAAACACAAACTTTCATTTTGGATGCGATTAATGGCAATTAATAATTGCTCAGCCCTAATTTATATATATATATATACTGTATATAAAATATATATACTATACTTCAAAAGTTTGGGTCAGTAAGATTTGTTTTAAAGAAATTATTAATATTATTCTGCAAGGATGCATTCAGTTTATCAAAAGTTAAAGTAGACTTTTACATTGTTACAAAACATTTCTATTTCAAATATGTTTGATGTTTTGTAATATATTTTTATTTTAGAATCCTGAAAATAGTTGATTAGCAGCACAACTGTTTTAACATTCATAAAAATCAGAAATATTTATTAAGCTCTAAATCCTCATATTAGAGTGATTTCTGAAGGATCATGTGACACTGAAGACTGGAGTAATGATGCTGAAAAATCAACTTTACATCATAAAATAAAGAAATAGAAAACATTTCACAATTGTAATAATATTTCACAATATTACACAATATTTTTATTTTATCAAATAAATGCAGTCTTGGTGAGCATGAGACACTTTTGTTAAAAGCATATACAATCTAACCAAACCCATACTTTTGAAATTGTTATATAAAATATTATTTGATATGTACAACATTACATAATGTTATGGAGAATTGGCTTTAAAAAAAAAGTAAAATATCAAACAGAAAATGTCTGAGGATTTCTTATTTTTTAAGACAGAAATCTCAACGGTCCTAAAATAGCTTCTTTTTTTATTTGAAGAGTTCAGATGCAAAAGCCTCTAAGTGCCATTTGAAATTTACTTCTAGAATGATCATTTTTATCAAGCTTGTATATTTAAATTCAGTAATTTCACTTAAATGGCAATGATAATTACCTATTAATTGTTATTTAAGTGAAATTACTGAGCTTAAATATACAAGTTTGATAAAAATCAACATTAAAGAAGAAAATTTCAAATGGCATTTAGAGGCTTTTGCATCTGAACTCTTCATTTATTTAATTTTTGGTTTTATTTTTCACCCAAATGTTGTGTTTAAGACGAATCATTATGTCTGTTCATTTCAGTTATGTGTGTTTGTGTTTGCAGTCGGACATATGGGCTCTGGGATGTTGTGTGTACGAGATGGCGACTCTAAAACACGCCTTCAACGCAAAAGACATGAACTCTCTCGTCTATCGGATCGTCGAAGGGAAGGTAGACGATTACATTCCTCATCTGTTTCACAATATTTGCGTCTGTCAGATCTAAAGAGCTTTCCATTCATATCAGTACTCATTTCATCCCTCCTCATATTATATTAACAGTATTATTAATTATTCATTTTTAATATTCAGCTGCCCCAGATGCCGAGTAAGTACGACCCCCAGCTGGGAGACCTGATAAAGCGGATGCTGTGTAAGAGACCAGAGGACAGGCCGGACGTCAAACACATCCTCCGACAGCCGTATATCAAACACCAGATCTCCATGTTCCTGGAGGCCACTAAAGAGTACGTGCTTGTTCCAATACAAGTCGCATTAATAGATTTCAATAGGTTTGTAACAAACAAATGTTGTCCGATACGGGATGGGCAACGATTAATCGCGATTAATCGCATCCAAAATAAAAGTTTGTGTTTACGTAATATATGTGTGTGTGGTGTGTATAATTATTTTGTATTATATTTGTATACACACACATGCATGTATATATTTAAGAAATATTTGCAAGTATATACTTTATATATATTTATACATAATTATTAATACTATGTATAAATATAAATATTTGATATATTAAGAACACATTTTTCTTAACCCTTATGCTGCATTAGGGACATTTTTGGTCTTTTGCAGTTTAATTTCTTTGACCATTTTGGCTGTTTTAATGCAAATGGTATGAAATTTGGCAAAATTGTGACTTTTTGGATACATGTAAAAAATGTGATCCCATTTTGCAAAATATGTATAACACACACTGTGTAGATCAAATAGTAACACTCAGCACCATAAAGACCAAAAATGGCCCATTGAAACCCATTAAAACGTTGTTTAAATCAGTAATACATGAAACATGATTTTTGCACAAACATCCTTTCATTTTGAAGCAAAAGCATTATATTTGCATTATATAGTGTATTCCACCAGATGACGTCACTACATATTTATTCCCTATGGGTGGAAATGCACCTTATTTTAGGCAATAGGCAATGTTTAATAGGTGGCCATTTTTGGTCTCTAACGCGCTAAGTGGGATTTTTTGCAAAGTGGGACTGTGATAATCCAAATCTAAAGTTTTCTCTTTGCATTTAGTTTATTGAAAATAATTGAATTTTTGTGTTTTTTCCTCTTATACAAATCGATGGCTTCGCAAACAAAACTGGTAATTAAAGGGTTAAAATCCTGAAATTGAATACATTTTTGGTAGTTATGGTGAGGACTGATGCTGGTTAAAAGATTTAACTTGGTAAAAGTGGAAAATAATAATAATATATAATATTTTAGGCAATGTTTAATATGTGGCCATTTTTGGTCCTTAATGCACTCAACGGTGTTAAAAATCTAATGCAGCACAAGGGTTAAATATATACATGCATGTGTTAGTATTTATGTATATACAAAATAATTATACACACCACATATATCATGTAAACACAAACTTTTATTTTGGATGCGATTAATCGCGATTAATCGTTGCCAATCCCTACTCTCTTTTTTTAGTCTTTTGTTATTGCGCAACAGACATTATACCATCTGTAATATTGGCCTTTTTCATGCTATAGCCGATATACTGACGGTTTTAAATTTAAATTGCCCTATAAAAATCAGTGGCTGATACAACGGTACATCTCTAGTTGTAACGGTACACAAACATGACGCTTCGGTACATACCTTGGTTTTGAGGTCACAGTTCGGTATGTTTTTGGTACAGGAGGGGAAAAAAACTAACTTTTTTTCTATTTTTTTTTATCAATATCGCTGCAGTTTATGCTGATGCTGTAATTGGCGCGAGAGATTTGAAGTGCTTTTACTTTATGCTATTATATTATGCATATTATGCTAATATGCAAATATTTTAGCATACGGTTAGGATTATTGGGCTCTCGTCATCTTTTTGACACGCATGCTCTCCGGCACTTGTTCATTGAAGTCTGCACATTTAAAGTTAAATTCTGACTAGCTTTCTGTCAGGAAAATCTTTTATGAGATTGAAAAACTTGGATTAAGTGAGTATATGCATCTGTAAGATGAAAGCCATGTAGGTTTATGATTTAATTGAAAGTGCTTAATTTAAAGCATTTCTCATCATGTTTAAGACCGGTTGGATTGTGCACTTGTTGGGGAGCAACTCACTCGGTGTGCTTCATTAATTTTCAGATGTGTTGCGACCAGTGTTGGGTGTAACTAATTAAATTTAATTACTTTTCCCTTGAAAATGTAAAGTAAGGGATTACTCTTCATTTTCCTGTAATTTAATTACAGTTACTTCTGATGTAATTGAGGTAAATAGCTACAGTGTATGGATCAATCCGATCTCACAGCGATTCGTATGCATTTTATGAGGCGTCTAAATCGTACGACCGCACTCGTACAAATTCGTATGAATTATTGTAAAAATATGTATGAAAAAAGTGTGAAATGTCATGAGATCAGACATAAAACAATAGTGGGTTTAACATCAAAATGTATTGTCTGATGTTAAAAAGTATGTTTTTATAATATAACCTTCTCCACCTTGGTCAGTTTAAGGATAATTCATGCAATTTTATTGTATTTATTTGAAAGAATTAACAGATTCATGTCTATCCTTGTATTATTCAGCTGGTTGAGATTGATATGGGATTTTGAAAGTAATTAGTAATTAAATACTTTTTAAAGAGAGTAATTAGTACAGTAATCTAATTACACTGTTGAAGAGGTAATTAGTAACTAGTAATTTTTTAGAGTAACTTACCCAACACTGGTTGCGACATCAAAATATATTGATTTAAAGGATATTGATCCACAAAAGGAGCAAATTCAGAGTTTAAAATTACGTTCCGCACACAGAGCAGTGATTAAAACAACAGTGTTCATTTGGTACACGTGTACAAGTTATTATAAGTGTACCTTTCCACCCCTTGTTTACAATGTTACTGATCTAACAGGAAAACTGCCAAATCACGGAAAAATGCAACGAACAGCAAACCCAGTGCCGGATCAGATGGCTCAACCAAACCAAATCATGAAGTCCAGCCTCAGTGTTTGAACTCTGAGTCAAAGACCAGAAGAAGAAAGGTAGGATGAAGCGGCTGATTTTTAAGACCCTGTGTGTGGACATGATCTCAGTTCATCTGTTTTGTTTTCCACATTTCATAGGTTGAAGAAAATAACTTGAACCGACAACAACTCTGTAACGGTGCAGTGGAAAATGTGGTTCCTGACCCACCCTTGCCCCCCAAATCTCCCAATCGGGACATTCTTAACTCAACAGGCCAATCTTTAGCCACTATTAGCGATATTGACATTGAAATCCAATCCCAGAAACAAAGAAAAGCCAAGCCACCACAGCCAAAGCCCATCAGCCATCAAAACCACAAGCCTCCATCTGTGAGCATGAAGAAAGAGACACACCCTCGGGAACAAGAGTCGGAGGAGAAGATGTCATTGAGATCTGAAAGCTCAAACACTCCCAAACCTGCAGATCGAACCAAAAACAAGGCTCTCGAAGCAAGTATGGATCTCAAAGACGACACCATGAAGCTCCTGCAGGACCTCCCGTACGAGCCCCCTGAACAACATCTCAGTGCTGAGAGAAAGCCCGACAGCCGAAGAAGCTCAGCTGATGATGCCTGTGTCATACAGGATGGTCCCGCGGGAAGTTCAACTGAGGAGAGCGAGGTACGTCATTGTGATGGATCCAATCAAAGCTTCTGATAGGTGTGCTTAAAGGACAAGTTCAGTATTTAAAGCCCTGTTTTAAAGGAGTAGTTCACTTTAATTTACTCACCCCCGTGTCATCCAAGATGTCCATGTCTTTCTTTCGTCAGTCGAAAAGAAATTAAGGTTTTTGATGAAAACATTCCAGGATTTTCTCCATATAATGGACTTCAATGGGGACCAAACGGTTCAAGGTCCAAATGAGAGTTTCAGTGCAGCTTCAAAGGGCTTTAAACGATTCCAGACGATGAATAAGGGTCTTCTCAAGCGAAATGATTGCCAATTAAAAAAAAAAAAAACAAAGTTTAAGTTTTATAAGCTCAAATGCTCGCCTTGCTCTGTTCTGTGATGCGCGTTCGTGACTCTCCTGTTCGAACTCGTTCATCAAAATGAACAAATCTTTTCCTGAGTCAACTTTTTCATTTCGTTCGTTGAATGAACCAAATGATTCGGAAAAAGATTCGTTCATTTTGATGAACGAGTTCGAACAGGAGAGTCACGAACGCGCATCACAGAACAGAGCAAGGCGAGCATTTGAGCTTATAAAACTTAAAATTTGTTGTTTTTTTATTTTTGAAATGACCGCTCGTTTCGCTTGATAAGATCCTTATTCATCGTCTGGAATCGTTTAAAGCCCTTTGAACAGTTTGCACTGAAACTGTCTTTTGGACCTTGAACCGTTTGGTCCCCATTGAAGTCCATTATATGGAGAAAATCCTGGAATGTTTTCATCAAAAACCTTAATTTCTTTTCGACTGAAGAAAGAAAGACATCTTGGAAGACATGGGGGTGAGTAAATTATCAGCAAAAGTTTTTTTTTAAAGTGAACTACTCCTTTAAAGTCCCTCTTATATTGATGGACTTTAATATGTTTTATGATCTGTGCTAAAAGAAAGATTCACAATGAAAGGGGTAATGGACCAAACATGTTTTAACTCTGTCATTATTCACTCACTCTCATGTCATTCCAAACCTGTATGACTTTCTTTCTTGTGTGGAACGTAAAAGGAGATATTTTAAAAAATGTCTGTTTTTGTCCATACTATGGAAGTCAATGGTCACCAAAACTGTTTGGTCACCAATCATGTTCTTTGAAATGTCCGTCACAAGAAAGAAAGTCGAACAGGTTTGGACCAACATCAGGGTGAGTAGAAGATCAGTTTTCAGGAACTGTCCCTTTCATTTATTTGATTGATTGATTGATTGATTGATTGATTGATTGATTGATTTTGTGTCCTTCACATTGCAGGGAAGTTTAGACTCCACAGAGAAACTACTCAAGCCTGTTCCTGTCATTTTAATGGTAAAACACTGTTTTCTTTCTTTCTTTTTCTTTCTTTTTCTTTCTTTCTTTCTTTCTTTCTTTCTTTCTTTCTTTCTTTCTTTCTTTCTTTCTTTCTTTCTTTCTTATAATTTTATTTAAAGATATAATTAAAGATATAATTCTTTCTTTCTTTTAATTTTATAAAAAGATATAATTTTTTTTTGAAATCACAGCTTCCTCGGAATGGTCCGAAATTTGGTTAATTTGTTGGTATTTGGTATTTGAACACCCAAAAAAATTGGGGACAGGATGTGAATAGTCTAAGTGGTTGTAAAAAAAATAGTCACACTTGGGGTGTTCGGGTCCAAATAGACACGCATGGAAAATGAATGGGAAATTGGCAAAAATGTGAAAATACTGAGCTTTTGTGTGCGTACAATCTACAAATCAGCCACGATCTTGAAAAAAAGCACACAACAGTGAAGGGGTGATCTATAAAACATCAAGAGTGCAAAACACACACACACAAACCCACTTTTATACACAAACACACCAAAAATTCAGATTTTACATGTGTTTTGCATTTTTAAAATGCTCAGTTTGTCCACCAGATGGCACCCATCTCATTTCAAAACGTGCTTTTATGAGGCCTAGGCTTGACTCTAAAATGAAATACAGCTTTAAAAAAAAAAAAATCTATATTTTTTCTATTACGTTCAATGGGGGGAAATTTTGTCATAATTTTTGCATTAGTACTAATTATAATTTTTTTTTTTTTTGAAATTTTCTCAAAACACCAAAAAAGAAAAGAAAAAATATTTTAAAAAACAAGTAAAAAAAAGAAATCATGATTTTTTTTTTTTTTAAATATGAATCGCACCCTTTGGGTCCATTTGGACCCGAACACCCCGAGTGTGACTCTGAAACGAACAACCCCAGAGGGTTAAACCCATCCCTAATAGTAGAACACTTGAAGGATTTTTCTAGCAATATAAGGAAAGTGCTGTTGAACAACCAGTTGTGCCAGCATAGATAATTATGTATGTAAATATGACTTTTAGTGAGGTTTTATTGATGGTTGAAATAGAGAATGATGAATGAATGAATTGATAGATAGTTGTATTTGAGTGACTAATTATAACATTTTATATTGTATATTTTGTACCTGCTCGGGGACTGCAGATGGAAACTAGCTTAAGCTAAATCTGGTGCAAAGCATCTTTAATTAATGTTTTTTTGCACATTGTCCCTGTTGAAATAAATAAATAAATGAAATGAAATGAAATGAAATTTTGATGGTGATTGAAATACAGACTTTTTGTGCAAATCATTGATTAATTAATTTTGGTTGCTGCTGTTGTGTATTACAAAAATATTTCTAATCCTTTAAATAATATTTAAACATTACTGGTAATAACATTTAGGAGCCATGCATTTCCGAGTCCACGGCGCTCTCGGAGGAAAGCAGAGCCGCTCTTCCTCCTCCTCCTTCCTCTTCCTCCGAACCGTCCCTGTCACGTCAGCGCCGGCAGAGGAAGAAGGACACGTCTCTGCAAGAGCACAACACTCATCAAGTGAGAAGCTTGAGCATTGGAAACCTTGTATTTTATAACTTATAAAGAATTACTACAAGCCAGAATGAATTAACATTCTCTTTTTATATTGTGTGTCGCTGATCTTACTCACTAAAACCTCTGTGTGTTCAGGTCAAAGCCGTGCCCAGACCTCTGCCGCCTCTTCCTGAAGATATCCCATCAGTAAACCGTGCACAGGAAGCCCAGAGTAACTCCGAGAACAACAGGCCTACCGATCTCTCATCCAGGAACGCTCCAGAACAGCAGGTTGTAACGTTTCCACACTCTCTGATTTTTAGTTTGGTTTGGTTTCTTTAATGCTGGGGTGCCAGACAGGGTTTCTGTCAATAATTTAGTTCAGTTTGCAAAAACGTTCTTGTGCAGTCTGGTTTGTCTTTCACAAAACCCCTCACTTATTTGAGAAAATATGTGCCATACAATAATATTCACATAAACACTCTTAAATAGACCCCTTCTGCATTCAATATGACAGACAACTCAAAGTCATTCAAATATGTATTTTAACAAATCACAACACAAAGTGTCTCAAATGGCTTTTTTAGTTTGAGTAGGAAGAAAAAAACAAAACAAAACAAAAGTTTGTTCCACCACAGAGGTTAAAAAAAAAAAAAAAATGAGCTCAAGTCCCAAGATCAGCAGTAATTCCAACAGTTCAGTTCATATAGTTCAATAAAAGTTAATAAGGGAAAAAATATATAAATACATTTCCCCAATCAAAAACAGTCAACAGTCAAAACAGTCATCCAGAACTGGCCTAGTGTACTCACGAATCCTTCTTACTTGAAAAATCCGCTCCACGTTTTACATAATTTTTGTGTTTTTTATAACCTCTGTGGTGGAACAAACTTTTGAACTGGGTTTTATTTTGTTTTTTTTTCTTCCTACTCAAACTAAAAAAGCCATTTGAGACACTTGGAACTGTGTTGTGGTTTGCTAATATACATATTTAAATGAATTTGAGTGGATTAAGGTGAAGCCGTAAACTGCTTTATACAGTATATCCATGTGGAGAGTGCTTGTGTGGCTTCATGTTTCTTTTAAACAATTTGTTTGAATCTGTGAGTTTGTTGTTAATAAAAATCCCTACTTACAGAATCGTCCACTGTCTGCTCGGGAAAGGAGAAGACTGAAGCAATTACAGGAGAACTCCAGACAGCAAGGTTTGTGAAAATGTTTAAAAAACAATAACAATATGAATGGAAAAATTACTGCAAAAGTAGACCAAAAGCTTGTTCACGTGCACTCCATATTCTGTTTTAAGGCCCTTGGCACACTGAGTCTGAAATTCGGAAAATTTTAGCATGTTAAAAAATAAATACGTCAATCACATTTGCACACTGCCTCCAAAAACGTTCATCCATCAAAAAAAAAAAAAAATGATTCGTTTTTCGCAGCCGTAGCGAGCAGTTTGAATGGTGTTTTGACAGTTCAGAGCCACCGAATCAGAAATACGACTTTTTAGGACTTTGTCTTGAAAATGCTAATTGTCTTGTCCACTTCAGTGATGTATGCTAAGCTATGCTAAAAGTGGTACCGCCAGAACGGGAGATCGGCTGAATGGATTCAATAACGGTAAAACGCAACAGTTTAACTCTGGGGGAGTTGTAAAATGAGCGTATTTCCAAAAAAAAGTGGAGTATCCCTTTAAGAACAGTATTGGCGGATCAAAGCCAGACGTTTCTGCACGTGTCCATTAGCATGCATGAGCACCATGATCAAAGCCCACAGGTGCTGCATACATGAATTCAGATAAAAGGAGATTTAGTACAGTTTAATGAGAATGATTCCTTCTTTTCTTTTCTTTGAAGCAGTGTCCGCTGTCAGAAGGGCATCTTGTGACGTCCCCTCATTAGACCGTAAGCAGACAGATGAGCTACACTACCCGAGACCTGCCAGCACAACCATGGAAACAAAAAAGGTACGTCTAATGTTTCGTCCTCGAATCAGAACGGTCGTTCAAACACCATACACTTAATACTTGCAGTGCAAGAGCATTTAGACAGAAGCAGAGTCCTTGCTTAACCCTCAGGTGCTCTTCGGTCATTTCTGACCGAAAAATTTTCTGTTTTGAAATTTTAAAAATCACAGCTTCATCGCAATGTTACGAAACTTGGTGACTTTTATGGCATTGGGTATGTGAATACAAAAAAAAATTGAGGTCATGATCCGAGCATGCTAAGTGGTCGTAAAAAAAATAGTCACACTTGTGGTCTTCGGTCAAAAATGACCGACCCATAGGAAATGAATGGGAAATTGACAAAAAAAAAAAAAAAATTCTCAGAATATTTGTACGTGCAATCTACAAATCGGCCACAATTTTTTAAAAAAGTAGACCGTAGGAAAGGGGTGACACTCTACAACATCTAGAGTGCAAAACAGACACACCCACCAACACACACACGCATACAAACACACTTTTATACACATACACACCAATAAATTTTGATTACAAAAAGTATGTTTTGAATTTTTAAAAATCACAGCTTCATCGCAATGTTACGAAACTTGGTGACTTTTATGGCATTATGTATGTGAACACACAAAAAAATTGAGGTCATGATCTGAGCATGCTAAGTGGTGTTAAAAAAATTAATCACACTTGTGGTCTTTGGTCAAAAATGACCCCCATAGGAAATGAATGGGAAATTGTAAAAAAAATATTTTTTTTTAAAGTTTTTTGTCAATTTTTGACAAAAAAATGTGTTCATAAATAGCTGGGGACTTCACATGCCTCTCAATAGAGAGCTGTACATGCCATCTAGTGGTTACACCATGATTCTACGCTTTTTCTCTATACTGTAACCAGATGGTGCTAATGTTCTTCAAAAAATATTTTTTTTCTGAAGGCCTAGACTCTATATTAAACTGAAATACTGCATTAATATTTTTTTGGGAAAAAAAAAAAAATATATATATATATATATATATATATAGAAATATATATATATATATATATATTTTTCCATGGCAAAAATAAACCATAAATATTAATAATTTCAATTAAATTGTCTCAAAATACTAAATTCAAAAGAATAAATATTATAGAACAAAAATAAATTGCATTGGTTTTACTGGGATGGAGGAAATTTCATTTTTAGGTGTCCGGTCACTTTTGACCGGGAAGATAACAAGTGTGACTCCGAAACGAAGAGCACCTAAGGGGTTAAAGGCATAGTTCACCCAAAAATCCAAATCCTGCCGTTGCCACTCTTTCTTCTGTGGGACATTTAGATATTTTGGAAAAAAGTGTATTTTTCCATGCAGTGGTTCCCAAAATTCTTCATATGATCTTATATCAGATCTTCTATATAAGAAGTTCATAGAGGTCTGGAACAACATGAGGGTGAGTAAATGATGACAAAAGTTTCATTTTGTGATGAACTATCCCTTTAAATTTCACATGTAATAAAACCTGTTTCATCTTGACATTAAATAAGTATACTCTATGAGCGGTTCTGGTTCCCAAACATTTTCGCGTCACACTACTGAGGAATTTAACATCCTTCTGCGTAACCTCTCTCTTCCACTCTTCCACTGCAGTCACTCCTTTTCCGTTAAGGGACAATAGAGAAATATCCAGTGATGGTAAAAATGAAGTGATACTTTTACATATTAAACTACAACCACCAATAGGTCCTGATGAGTGAGTCAAGTCATTCAGTACAGAAGCAAATCGCTGTAATTATGAACGAATCATTGAATCATTGACTCACGATTCATTCAAAACCACAGATTCGTTCATGAAAAACAACTGTGTATTCAGTTCTGCTGTGACTTGGTTGAAATTTGGGAAATTTGGGAAAAATTGCATTCTTTCTCGTATAATAGATTATAAACATTAAAAACCAGAACTCGCACACAGTATGTTTTTGTATTGAAGAGAGTTTGAGACTTAAAGCCTGTGTCTATAATTGGCTCTGTGCTAAAAGTGCTAAATCCTCACTTTTACAAACCGCAGTGATGTAGTGTTATTTGCTAAGGCCTCAGTCTCTGCACGCAGCCGTATGCTCGCTACTTGTGTGGATGCAGTCCGTTTTGACCACAAAACTTGAGGTAATTTGATTGGATGGCATGTTATTTGACCTTTTACAGCATTTTGCCTGTTATAAATCTATAAATACATGCTCAGTTTTAGTGTTATTTTAAGGTTTCTTCACGTTAGCCTCTGTCACCTTACGTACCCCTCTGCTCTATGACATCATCTCAATGTTACGCATCATCACCTTAGAATCCAAGATCTCAGCTGGTTGGTCTAAAGGGATCTGACTTGGACTGTTTTGGTTGTCTTTGTGTCTCAGGAGAGGAAGTCTGATGAAGACGAGTGTAGTTCCTCCACCAGCTCCACTGAACGCTCAGAGGGGGACTACAGAGAACGGTAAGACCTCACACTAATTTGAACACACACTAATACTGTGTTTGACCCCCTTTCGCCTTAATTCTCCGTGGCATTGATTCAACAAGGTGCTGAAAGCATTCTTCAGAAATGTTGGCCCATATTGATAGGATAGCATCTTGCAGTTGATTGAGATTTGTGGGATGCACATCCAGGGCACGAAGCTCCCGTTCCTCTACATCCCAAAGATGCTCTATTGGGTTGAGATCTGGTGACTGTGGCGGCCATATTGGTACAGTCAACTCATTGACATGTTCAAGAAACCAATTTGAAATGATTCCAGCTTTGTGACATGGTGCATTATCCTGCTGGAAGTAGCCATCAGAGGATGGGGACATGGTGGCCATAAAGGGACGGACATGGTCAGAAACAATGCTCAGGTAGGCCGTGGCATTTAAACGATGCCCAATTGGCACTAAGGGGCTTTAAGTGTGCCAAGAAAACCATTACACCACCACCACCAGCCTGCACAGTGGGAACAAGGCATGATGATCCATGTTCTCATTCTGTTTACACCAAATTCTGACTCTACCATCAGAAATCGAGACTCATCAGACCAGGCAACATTTCTCCAGTCTTCAACTGTCCAGTTTTGGTGAGCTCTTGCAAATTGTGGCCTCTTTGTCCTATTTGTAGTGGAGATGAGTGGTACCCGGTGGGGTCTTCTGCTGTTGTAGCCCATCCGCCTCAAGGTTGTGTGTGTTGTGTCTTTGCTGCATACCTCGGTTGTAACGAGTGGTTATTTCAGTCAAAGTTGCTCTTCTATCAGCTTGAATCAGTCGACCTCTGACTTCTCGCATCAACAAGGCATTTTGGCCCACAGGACTGACCCATACTGGATGTTTTTCCCTTTTCTCTCCATTCTTTGTAAACCCTAGAAATGGTTGTGTGTGAAAATCCCAGTAACTGAGCAGATTGGGAAACACTCAGACACCAACAACCATTGCTTAAATCCCCTTTCTTTCCCATTCTGACATTCAGTTTGGAGTTCAGGAGATTGTCTTGACCAGGACCACACCCCTAAATGCACTGAAGCAACTGCCATGTGATTGGTTGATTAGATAATTGCATTAATGAGAAATTGAACAGGTGTTCCTAATAATCCTTTAGGTGTTCTTCGCATTGTTTACTGCCTGTACCAGTGAGTGACTAGAGGCCATCTTTTTTTTTTTTTAATTATGTTTTATACAGAAAGTGTGAGACCAGTGAGATGCAAGACTTGGTTCAAATGATGACTCAGACGTTACACATGGATGCCAGAGATGTATCCCTGCCTGAGTTCAAACTAAACAGGAAGTACAGGGACACCCTGATGCTTCATGGGAAATCCAGAGAGGGGCAGGGGGATTTCCAAATCAGTGGCTTCCCGTTAGGTAACTAAGTCGTTTTTTTTTCCCAGTAACATTCACAGCAAATCTTCAAATTCCTTTAAAACAGAAAATTGCAAATGTTAAATATTTTTGAACAAATGTGAATCGAGTAATTCTTCATTGATTAGTACAGTACACTAGTCTGATATTCCTAATGTTCTGTATGTAGATGACAGCACGGGTCCAGCGAAGGTCAGGAGAGTGATGGAGCACTTGCGGACAGATGTGGTGAAAGCACTCGGTGTGAAGCTGTTGGACAGAGTCCTGGATGTCATGCAGGAAGAGGATGAAGTTAAGAGAGAGGTAAGTTAGCTAAAGTCCTTGAGCTTTAGAAAGACATCAGAATCAATACGCCATTGAAAATGATGTCTACAAACAAATCATGATTCATCATTAACTGTTGTTGTGTAAAATGTATTCAGCATTTTTGATACAGTGCAGGAACAACTGAGACCACACGTACACAAAAATTACACTCTGGGGGGCTTTAAGATTACATTTTATACATGATATTTAATCATATTTATAAAAGTGCATTATAGCTCAAGTCTGCTTAAAAATGAAGTTTGTGTATGTGTAAGTGGTTTGGGGAATCATTTATGAATACTAATTCACAAATTGATGTGAGAATGCACATATTGTGAGTTAAACAAATTTCTTGTGCATATAAATCTTAATTATCCATGCAAATAGTGCATGAGACCCATTGATGTTAGAGTACTGGTTACCCTTTATTGTTTATTCCTGTAAAGCTGCCCCAACTAAAGCACACACTGATCACCATAATGGTGACTTAAAAATAATGATTTTCTCCTTTTTATCTTCAGTAATGCCCAATCATCACTCAATTAATCACTTAATTATCTCATTAACTTTTATCACTGGAGTTTTTGCTGTGTTCCGTTTAGGAGAACATTCTGGGAACCAAAATAAAACTACCCGCTGAAAACATTATTAGAACTTTGTGGTAACAAAACATTTCTAGCTGGGGCTTCGAAACAATCTGTATTGTAGGTGTTTACTAAAGGGGATGTATTTAAAACAGTTTGCTAAATGGATAGTAATTTTAAAAGACATAAATAGTAGGGCTGGGTAATAAATATCCATTTCTCGATATTAATCGATTCTCATTTTTATGAACCGATATCGATTCTTAAATCTCAAGAATCGATTAGTCATCCTGTTTCATTTGAATGAATGGATCATTGTATCGCGGCTGCGCGCATCCAAATAATCGCAGTAATCTTTGTCCTTTGTTACTATTGATATGAAACAAAGTCTCAATTTTCAAATTACGTCCATTTTCTTTAGAAATTCAAAAACATAAATAGCGTTTTGGCGCTGTGGCTTGAGCAGCAGCGCTAATCTCTCTCTCGGCTCAATAATACCAGTCACAGCGCCAAATAAACATGAATGAGCATCTGAAAGTGTGTTAAAGATAGAGTACAACTTATCCAAATCCGTTCATGTCACATTGATTCGCTCAATCTGCGGTTCATCCGTGGAAAGTTGTCAGTTAAACAGCTTGTAATCAATGTCATGTATCGTCATATTTACCTCAGAAAACCAACTCGTTAGTCCACACTCGTTAGTGTTCTTCAATATTTAATGCATATTTGAATAAATCTGGCAAGTTTTTTTATGACAGCCACCATTTAAATGTTTATATTTCATATAATCTTCTTATTATAAAAATAAATAAAAGTGTAATTTTAAGTGTTTGTATAACTACAAAACAGTTCATTATTACCTTCATATTAGGCTAATGAAGCCTATAGGCTACAACTAGACTCCCATAGTTTACAGATTTGATTCCCGTGAGAAAAATTGCCATTTATTGTAACTGATATCCAAAATAATCGATATTTAATCGAAATCGAATTGCAAGCTTGTGAATCGAAATCGAATCGAATTGTGAAATTTGTCTCAATACCCAGCCCTAATAAATAGAAGTTAGACTGTTATTTCTATTCTTTTTTCTATCCAGCATTTACTGCATGAGCAAATGGGGGAGGAGAAATACAAGCGGTACGCGGTAAAAGTGCGACAGCTGAAGTTCTTTGAGGACGTCGCGTTCAAAGATTGAGCCAGATCAGATACGCATGAGGATCGCTAGCGAAACACCGATGGTGGGCACTTCACTGAAGCCTCCTATCAACAATCACTGTTACTTTTGTAAATGTGTAGTGATAAAACTGAGCTTAACACTAGATCTGCAACAAAGCTATGTTATTATGCACCTTTAAATTTCACAAAAGCATTATTTTATATTGGAAATGTGAACCTATGCTATGGTGATAGCAATCTTGAATTTAATAGAAAGACGTTGGAAATAGTTTAATAGTTCTATTTTCTGGACTGTATATTTATGATGAATAATGTAATGATTTTTAATAAATGACATTTTCAGGAATGCTGTTTCCTCTTTTTGCATTAACCCTAAAACCGTATTCTGGACAAATGTGGGCAAAATAATTTTGATTTATTTTTAAAAAATACTTCTCTTGATCTGAGCGGTGCAAGACTTGGCTACTTTTCCTAAGTTTGCCTCCTGAACACACACACAAAAAAATTTTGGACTCAATTCTACAATGTTAAGTGGGTAACTAAATCTTGTATTTGGGTCAAAAATTGGCACCCATAGAAATGAATGGGAAAAACTGTAATTTAGAGCAATCTAAAATAAGCCAAAATTACAGGATTAAGGGCTATAAAGTGAATACGGTTTGAGTACTACAAAAAAAAAAAAAAATCCACACAAATAAACCAAACAATGTTCTTTATTACACATATTGAATGTTGAAACAGTGACAAAAATGGATGGGTTTTCATATAGATTGTTTGTTTCTACTGTATATCTATATGGCTTTGCAGTGCCAAAACGCTGCCGGGAATCACTTGTGCTTCTTCTTCTTCTGACTCGGATTCTCCTGAGGTTTGTCACGGTTCTCTCCCGATGTCTCGGGCACGGCCGGCTGCCAGCTCAGAGGGTTTCTTCTGTACATCGGCCAGGGAGGCAGGGTGAGCTGGAGAACAGGACAGCCATTATTACACACCAGGATTGCAGACACTTTACATCAAGCAAACAGAAGTCTGACATACCAGACAGGATACTGTGAATCCAGCCAACATTATGTAAACCGTCCACCCAAACTGCTGAATAAATAATCCATAGACGAAGCCGATCACCTGCGAGATAAAAGACGTGAGGCGGAGGAGAAATGACAATGTTGTGATGGACTTCAAGGCGCTTCCAGTGTTACTTACCGCTGACACCAGAATGATTCCTTGGAAAATTTGCTCTGCAAGTTTTTGTCCCTTATAGTCCTGCAAATAACCAGTGTGAATATATGAATACTTGTGTTTATGTGATGAATTATACACAAGCAAGCCATCAGGAATGTGTTGCATTAGAAACGTTAGAAATGTAGATTATAATGCACAAGCCACTTTCTCTTGGAATAGGTTATGCAATAAATAGGCTACTATTAAGATATTTAAAAAATATATATATTATAGTGTAAATAAATACTTGGACACATTTCGACCGCAAAATACACCCAATATATATTTAACGAATATTATCTACACCAACAATTACTGTCAATCTATCACCTGACTCCCACAGCTGAATTAGATTTAAACATTTAATGCATAGCTTTCGTTCTAATACAAGCACTAGCTAACTGGTGTCACTTGTGCTTATTACAGCAGCAAAACTAAAGTTTTATTTTATATAATTTAATATTGACACAGGACCGTCGCTAATGCGTTAGCTGCTAACAACATATGTCAGTGTTTCAAAACACCACTGAACTCACAATATAAACACGCGCATGCTTACCATCACAGGAAGGCTTACCATGTGTGTCGGAATGGATTTAAACATTGAAAGCATTTTGAAATAACAAAATAAAGCTGCTAGATAATTTTATTCGGAAGAGAGTGATGGTTTGGTTTCCTGTTTGAACGTGTGTACGTAGAGATCCGCAGGACCCCTTCAAAACATCGACCGGATAAAATACCTCCATTCTGCACAGATCACAGAAAAATCCCTCTTGTGATCTCTCGGTGCAGATGTGGCTTAAATAATAAGACGATAAACTTTGTCTCAGTGGAGTACTAAATTAAAAGAAGAAATGTGTTTTTTAATCAGGCAGTATTCCAGACGCCAATTTTAGACCATTTATGGTCAAGGGCGTGTTGAAGTACGTCATCACCCGCTGGAACGATCGGATCTGTAATCCATATTAGATAACGTAAGGATTTTGATTCATCTCAATGACTCGGATCTTTTGGATCATTTCATTTCGTTCTGAATAGTTCTTTGATTTTGTTAAGTGGTCAAAACAATTGTAAGTGATTTGTAATGAATTGTGAATCTGCGGTTGCGTTGTTTCACCAGAAGATAGCAAAAAGTAAATTATTTTTTAATTCATTAATTACTTTAAACGCACAGAGTCATGGACGAAACGAGTCTTGTTATGTTTTATTAAGATTTGCATTAACAAATCTATCATATTTTCATTTCGTTTGGTCAACTGCTGCCTATGACGTCCTGCCTATGGCGATTCAGTTTCTTGGAAGATGTGTTGTTCGGTGATTTAGATTCCGTTTCAAATGGCTTTATTGACATGGCAAAAAAATATTTCCGTTGCCGAAGCATTAATAATATTAAATTAAATACACATTTACACAAAGGAAAAAGGTTTGCGAATGAAACTGGCGCTCTGATCAGACTCTAATCATCGACTCGTTCTGTGAACTGAAGGGGGCGTGTTCGTTCAATGGGTCAAGCCAATTAAGTGCTTCTTTACAGACCGCACTCGAATGCTATTGGCTCTCGCTGCAATCTGTCTTGGAGGAGTCAGCGCATCGAGACTGATTCGTTCACTTAAATGATTCGTTCAAAACACCAGACTCGACTCAGGCTGTTGCGCTCTAGTCTATCCTGATACTATATAACCTGTGAAAGGTCTTTTCGGCTCTGGTGTGTTCAGTGCTGGACTGAAGGGTAACTGGACTTGTTGATGTTGAGTTGGCGTTTTGGATGAAGAGCCGAAGAGAGTCCAGACGATATAATAAAAGGTATAATTAGTCCACACCTGCAAAACAAGGCTTTATGTTTGAGCAGTTTTGGACTACTTGGACATTGCTAAAATGCATTTTGTTTGAATTGGCAGGGATTTCTTTACTTGTGTGATTTAATTTGTAACCTTCTTGTGTTATAATAATCCGCTTTAACCTGATGTTAAATACATATTTCTGACTGTTTTCTTTCCTGCTCACTCATATTAGTGCTTGTTTTCATTCAGAATACAAACTCAAGTGCTTTTGTTCGAGTGCCATGACTGTACGCAGGGGTGAGTATATTCGAAAATATATATTAATATTGATATATATATTCTAGTCATTCTAGATTTGGGGGTACATTTCGACTCTCCCAGTCAGATAAACCTTCTTTTATTAAAAAAAATTGAATCAGTTTTGAATTATAACACAAATTATATTGAACTATCTCTAAAATAATGCTTCATGTATATTTAGGGAAAAAATGAATTGGAAATATTAACTAAATGACTCCCACTCGATCTATTATTGACTGTCTCTGCCTCCTGCATTCATACATTCAACTTCAATTATAATGAAACAGTTTTCAAATTAATTTTCAAATTAATACATTTAATTTTAAATTATTTTTTGTGTTTACTCTATTAAGTTATATAAACAATTACAAATAATACAGAAAAGATATATTCTATACAATTGAATTAACCCTTATGCTGCATTAGGGACATTTTTGGTCTTTTGCAGTTTAATTTCTTTGACCATTTTGGCTGTTTTAATGCAAATGGTATGAAATTTGGCAAAATTGTGACTTTTTGGGATACATGTAAAAAATGTGATCCCATTTTGCAAAATATGTATAACACACACTGTGTAGATCAAATAGTAACACTCAGCACCATAAAGACCAAAAATGGCCCATTGAAACCCATTAAAACGTTGTTTAAATCTGAGGCTGTCAGTAATACATGAAACATGATTTTTGCACAAACATCCTTTCATTTTGAAGCAAAAGCATTATATTTGCATTATATAGTGTATTCCACCAGATGACGTCACTACATATTTATTCCCTATGGGTGGAAATGCACCTTATTTTAGGCAATAGGCAATGTTTAATAGGTGGCCATTTTTGGTCTCTAACGCGCTAAGTGGGATTTTTTGCAAAGTGGGACTGTGATAATCCAAATCTAAAGTTTTCTCTTTGCATTTAGTTTATTGAAAATAATTGTGTTTTTAAAAAAAATAATTTTTGTGTTTTTTCCTCTTATACAAATCGATGGTTTCGCAAACAAAACTGGTAATTAAAGGGTTAAAATCCTGAAATTGAATACATTTTTGGTAGTTATGATGAGGACTGATGCTGGTTAAAAGATTTAACTTGGTAAAAGTGGAAAATAATAATAATATATAATATTTTAGGCAATGTTTAATATGTGGCCATTTTTGGTCCTTAATGCACTCAACGGTGTTAAAAATCTAATGCAGCACAAGGGTTAATAAAAAAAATAGATTTTGTGTAGCACAAGGGTTAATAAAAAAAAATAGATTTTGTGTCTGTCCCTATGTTCTGGTTGCCTCTAGTATAAAAAAAAAACCCTCCAAAGCATTTGTAGAAAAAGCATGTGAATTGCACCAAGGGATGTCACTTTCTCTGGTGGGAAATTCTGAAACGCAGTGATGTCAGTCATTATTATTCTCTCATAATTTGTACAAAATGTTTAGGATACACCAATAGTAGATTACATATTTGTCAAATCTATTATTGTGATATTGCAGTGAATCTCTCATTTACTTAAAAAAAAAACGATAATATGGCGAAAACCCATAAAATTCTATTTAGACATGCCATGTAGTATCTGGTTTGAGGTAAAGCGCAAAATGGTGGAAAATGTCAGCTCCATTATTGTCAGCTCTGTTATCTTAAACTCTGTTTCTGTTATCGTCAACTTTGTTTCTGTTATCGTCAACTCTGTTTCTGTTATCGTCAACTCTGTTTCTGTTATCGTCAACTGTTATCGTCAACTCTGTTTCTGTTATCAACTCTGTTATCGTCAACTCTGTTTCTGCTATCATCAACTTTGTTTCTGTTATCGTCAACTCTGTTTCTCTTATCGTCAACCCTGTTATCGTCAACTGTTTCTGTTATCAACTCAGTTATTGTCAACTCTGTTATTGTCAACTCTGTTTCTGTTATCGTCAACTCTGTTATCGTCAACTCTGTTATTGTCAGCTCTGCTATCATCAACTCTTCCATCGTCAACTCTGTTTCTGCTATCATCAACTCTGTTATTATTAACTCTGTTTCTGCTATTGTCAGCTCTGCTATCGTCAACTCTGTTTCTGTTATTGTAAACTATGTTTCTGCTATGGTCAGCTCTGTTATCGTCAACTCTGCTATCGTCAACTCTGTTTCTGCTATCGTCAACTGTTATTGTTAACTCTTTCTGTTATCGTCAGCTCTGCTATCGTCAACTCTGTTTCTGATGTTGTCAACTTTGTTTCTGTTATCGTCAACTCTGTTATCATCAACTCTGTTTCTGTTATCGTCATCTCTGTTTCTGTTATCGTCAACTCTGTTTCTGCTATCAACTCTGTTATCGTCAACTCTGTTTCTAGTATCATCAGCTCTGTTTCTGTTATCGTCAACTGTTTCTGTTATCATCAACTCAGTTATTGTCAACTCTGTTTCTGTTATTGTCAACTCTGTTATCGTCAGCTCTGCTATCGTCAGCTCTGTTTCTGCTATCATCAACTCTGTTATTGTTAACTCTGTTTCTGTTATCGTCAACCCTGCTATCGTCAACTCTGTTTCTGCTATTGTCAACTCTGTTATTGTTAACTCTGTTTCTGTTATCGTCAGCCCTGCTATCGTCAAATCTGCTATCGTCAACTCTGTTATCATCAACTCTGTTTCTGCTATCGTCAACTCTCTTATTGTTAACTCTGTTTCTGTTATCGTCAACTCTGCTATCGTCAACTCTGTTTCTATTATTGTCAACTCTGTTTCTGCTATCGTCAGCTCTGTTCTCGTCAACTCTGCTATTGTCAACTCTGTTTCTGTTATCGCCAACTCTGTTATCGTCAACTCTGTTTCTGTTACCGTCAACTGTTATCATAAACCCAATTTGTCTTTGTCCTGGTATTATATACCAGGTTTTAAGCAGTGTTTTCTTCAAACTTTATCATTTAACATATACCCTCTCTTTTCCAGTGAATGTGGTTATTCTTGTGCTGCTCGCCATCGCCTTTTTGATTATTTTGCATCGAAATCTGCTAAATCTCAATGATTTCCTGAAGCAAGAGAATCCAGGTATGAAGATGCTGATGTTGGTGAAGTTAAACAGTTTTTGGCTCCCTGAAATGCAGCAGCTCACTGATCTTCCTTTTTGTTTGCAGACACAGTGGCCGGGATGGTCCTGCCCTTTGAGACTGACCTCCTGTCGGGTCATAAGGTCATCAGAACAGGAGATGAGATCCCAGTGCTCATCACCGCTCCAGAGGAGAGACTGGGAGCCGCTGTCACCGCCATGAACAGCATCTACCGCAACAGCAAAGCTAATGTAGTGTTCAACATAGTGACTCTAAATGAGTCTGTGGTTCATCTCAGGTACACCTTATATCGCTTTACTACGGTTTATTAAACCAGGGGTTTTCAAACGGGTCCGCGAGGGAGTGCTTTGGGGTCCATTAAAAGGTTTACAGAAAAATACAGTACCGGTCAAAAGTTTGGAAACATTACTATTTTAATGTTTTTGAAAGACGTCTCTTATGCTCATTGCTCATCAAGTCTGCATTTATTTGATCAAATATACTTGATCATATAATTATAATTAAAGTAAATATAGTTTAAAATATAATTTAATTCTGTGATGCAAAGCTGAATTTTCAGCATCATTACTACTCGGTCTTCAGTGACGCATGATAGTTTGGAAATCATTCTAATATGCTGGTTTATTATCAATGTTGGAAATGCGGCTTAATATTTAAGTAAAAAAAATATTGAAAATATAACCAAGTATGAAATCAGAATCCTAGAATGATTTCTGAAGGATCATGTGACGCTGAAGACTGGACCACGTGAGCGTTTTCACCACAAAAGTAATCCGCTTAAATGTGTTTTCCATACCTCTGAAAGTGGTCAATGCGTTTTAGCCCCGTTTACTCTCGTGATCTGATTGACCAAAACGCCAAATCTTAATACCAGGCGTAAAAAGATTGAAAACCCCTTTATCAAACTATGTGTTTCAAAACCTGTGCTGTGATCATTTGATCATTCTCATTCCAGGACCTGGTTGAGTAAGACTGACTTGAAACATAAAATTATCATTTTTGATCCGAAGATCCTGGCAGGGAAAGTTTCCACTGACCCTCAGAAGGTGGAGGCCGTGAAGCCGGTAATCAAGTGCCAGTACTTCTGTTCGAGTAGAAGTGTAAATGCCAGTTATATATCATAACTGTATATGTGTTTTATTTTTCAGTTGACCTTCGCCAGATTCTACATGCCAGTTTTCTTGCCAGATGCAGAGAAAGCAATTTACCTAGATGATGATGTAATTGTGCAAGGTGAAGTGTATAGTTTTATCATTTTTAAAGACCCCAGAATTCACATATTGTCCACACAGGCATATCCAAATATCACAATATTGCCCATCATTACCTATATAAATAAATTGAATTAGTAATTATGTCCACAACAAAATTTGAAGGCTCCCTCCCTGCTAAATTTACAGATATTAAAAGTGCCCATAGATTAAAATATGTAACTAAAATGTATTAAATTTAAAGATTTGTAAAAAAAAAAAAAAAAATGTTCAAATTGATTCAAATATGATTTACACTCACCTAACCCAAATTATTAGGAACACCTGTTCAATTTCTCATTAATGCAATTATCTAATCAACCAATCACATGGCAGTTGCTTCAGTGCATTTAGGGGTGTGGTCCTGGTCAAGACAATCTCCTGAACTCCAAACTGAATGTCAGAATGGGAAAGAAAGGGGATTTAAGCAATTTTGAGTCATCTGCTCAGTTACTGGGATTTTCACACACAACCATTTCTAGGGTTTACAAAGAATGGAGTGAAAAGGGGAAAACATCCAGTATGGGTCAGTCCTGTGGGCGAAAACGCCTTGTTGATGCGAGAGGTCAGAGGAGAATGGGCCGACTGATTCAAGCCGATAGAAGAGCAACTTTGACTGAAATAACCACTCGTTACAACCGAGGTATGCAGCAAAGACACAACACACACAACCTTGAGGCGGATGGGCTACAACAGCAGAAGACCCCACCGGGTACCACTCATCTCCACTACAAATAGGACAAAGAGGCGACAATTTGCAAGAGCTCACCAAAACTGGACAGTTGAAGACTGGAAAAATGTTGCCTGGTCTGATGAGTCTCGATTTCTGTTGGTAGAGTCAGAATTTGGTGAACATGGATCATCATGCCTTGTTCCCACTGTGCAGGCTGGTGGTGGTGGTGTAATGGTGTGGAGGATGTTTTCTTGGCTCACTTTAGGCCACTTAGTGCCAATTGGGCATCGTTTAAATGCCACGGCCTACCTGAGCATTGTTTCTGACCATGTCCACCCCTTTATGGCCACCATGTCCCCATCCTCTGATGGCTACTTCCAGCAGGATAATGCACCATGTCACAAAGCTGGAATCATTTCAAATTGGTTTCTTGAACATGTCAATGAGTTGACTGTACCAAGATGGCCGCCACACTCACCAGATCTCAACCCAATAGAGCATCTTTGGGATGTGGTGGAACGGGAGCTTCGTGCCCTGGATGTGCATCCCACAAATCTCCATCAACTGCAAGATGCTATCCTATCAATATGGGCCAACATTTCTAAAGAATGCTTTCAGCACCTTGTTGAATCAATGCCACGGAGAATTAAGGCGAAAGGGGGTCAAACACAGTATTAGGTGTTCCTAATAATCCTTTAGGTGAGTGTATGTGTCACATTGGAAATGAAAGGTAAAGTTCATTGTATTCATTGTTGATAAGTTCATTATCTCAAAGTTACACATACAGAAAGTGTGTGTATATATACAGTACACATTGCAGCGGTATGGTACTGTGTGATTTTGATTAAAGTACAGCAATAAATGCTAATTGTATTCTTCTCAATGGTTCAGGGGACATTCGGGAGCTTTTTGACACCAGTCTTAAGTTTGGACACGCAGCGGCGTTCTCCGAGGACTGCGACTCGGCCTCCTCTAAAGGCATGGTCCGAGGAGCTGGAAATCAGGTGAGATTATTCTGATCGAAACTGCCTCGATTAGCAGTGGGATGACAAAAAGACAGAGGAATATGAAACTACAGGATATATAAACCATTTATTTTCTATATTGTGGTATAAAATTATTTATACCATCCAATCCCCAATTCAAAAAAGTTTTGCTGAACACATATTCCATTTATTTACATGGATTTGCTCATTTGTTTTGCCTGCTACAGAACAGCTATATTGGTTTTCTGGACTTCAAAAAAGAGGCGATCAAGAAGCTCGGGATGAGAGCAAACACTTGCTCGTTCAATCCTGGAGTCTTTGTGGCCAATTTAACCGAGTGGAAGCAGCAGAATATCACCAGCCAGCTCGAGTTCTGGATGGAGCACAATGCGAAGTGAGTATTACTTGTGTTCTGCTTTATTATATATATGTATCCAGTGTTTAATCTGTTCAGATCATCTAAGACGTCTCGCTCCAGGGCCGTTAATGCTGTTCTGTGGTCATTTTGCTTTAGAGAGGATCTTTACAGTAAGACTTTAGCGGACAGCATCACAACGCCACCTATGCTCATCGTCTTCTACAAGCACCACTCGAACATCGATCCCATGTGGCACGTCCGACATCTCGGTAAGGAAGTCATCGAGGCTCAGGCCCCATCGTAGGAGTCTTAGCTTAACCCTAAAACCGTATTCTGGACAAATGTGGGCAGAATAGTTTTGATTTATTTTTTAAAAATACTTCCCTTGATCTGAGCGGTACAAGACTTGGCTACTTTTCCTAAGTTTGCCTCCTGAACACAATTTTTTTTTATTCTACAATGTTAAGTGGGTGAAAAAAACAACTCCTTAATCTTGTATTTGGGTCAAAAATGGGCACCCATAGAAATGAATGGGAAAAAACTGTAATTTAGAGCAATCTAAAATAAGCCAAAATAAGAGTGGCAAGTCAAAGTCACTTCATCTTTAGGGTTTAGCTATAAGAACTTATTGGAATGATATTTTAATGTAGTTAAAAAAATAAATAAAATAAAACACAAAAATAAGCATAATTTACATAGAAAATATGGTCGTTTTTGAAGTAAATAAATTGAAAAATACCCCCAAAATAAAAAAATAAAAACACCATAAATGGATAGACAACTTTATCGAAGACAGTGATATAACATTTATAATAGGGCTGTGCAAAAATTAATTGCAATTAATCGCATCCAAAATAAAAGTCTGTGTTTCCATAATATATTTGTGTGTGCTTTATATAATTATTTTGTATATATAAATACACACATGCATGTATATATTTAAGAAAATGTGTTATTCATATATAAAATATTTATACTTATATAATATAGATTATGTATATATACAGAATTTAAGCGCAAATAATTATTAAATATATACATGCATGCATAGGTATTTATATATACAGCACACACAAATATATTATGTAAACACAGACTTTTATTTTGGATGCGATTAATCGCAATTAATTTTTGCACAGCCCTAATTTATAATAAATAAAAATTAGTATCACACCTGAGTGCCCAAATTTGTCCACAATTACAGGATTAAGGGCTAGAAAGTGAGTACGGTTTGAGGACTACGAGCGATTCGGGACTGATTCTCTGAGTAAGGAAAAGAAAAAAGAAAAAATCAAACTTTCGTCTTAGTGAGGAGGCGGGGTTGACCCCGTTGCCATGTATGACACAATCTTTTGAAGGCTGTGATTGGTTGGTTGTCCAAGAAGGAAAAATGGTTAAGTATAGGGTCTATTCTAAACCTTCACTTTGAAATTACATGCATAATTTTTCTTATTTGACCATTCTCACACATTATATACGTGTATATAAATCTTTTTCTATTTACCATGCTGTTAATTTCCTATAAGGTTTTTGATTGGCTTCACAAGGCCATCCTTAAAGGAACATCCGGGCTGGTTGTCAATTTATAGCATCTTATTAACTCACTGTCATCCATCGTCTGCAACACATTTCTTCTTCGTCTTTCTGCCATTTCTCCTCTAAAGAAACTCTTAAAAGTCCTCGTCGTTGACCTTAAGACCTCTTTTAAGGGATTTCTGAATCTTAGTCATCAATAGTTTTTAATTTTGATCTTTACGTTTGTAGGGGCGACAGGAGCGGGGAATCGGTATTCAGCTCAGTTTGTGAAGGCTGCTAAACTTCTCCATTGGAACGGACATTATAAACCGTGGGGAAGGGTCTCCTCTTTTTCTGACATTTGGGACAAATGGTACATTCCAGATCCCACAGGTAAATTCCACACAATCCGGAGACACGCCGAGGAAAAATAGACCAAAAAGTGCTTTGTGAAGGGACCGCGTCAGACATTTGGCTTTGTTCAGTGGATTTCTGGACCTTTGTAATGTTCTTTCAAGAAACCTAGTTACTGGGACCAACAGCAAAGCGATTCAACACCAGTCAATGCACTACCTCGAATTATAAAGTAATAACACTAAAACATTTATGGAAGAGCTTTTACATATTGTATATACATCATCCATGCAAAAGTTTAGATTTTGCTTGTTTTTTATATGTCATAATCCTGAATATTTTGAGGTGGAATTGTAGACCCACTGTTTTTTTGTTACAAAATTCCCATTTCATGATCAATATTTTAGTCTGTTTCAGGGCTTACGACACAAACCTGTAACTATTAACATTTCAGATTTTCTCTGACACTACACAAACCACTTTTCCCTTCTGTTAAGTGTTATATTTCTGTTTTTTTCATCATGCTAATTTGTACACAACGGATAAAGTGTTATAATAAAGTACTGACTAAAGGTCTGTTCAATATACAATATAACCATTTATTTAGTCAAACAAGCTATAATGCACATTTTAATATGAATGATACATACAGATGCACTACATTTCACAATCTGATTCCTCTGTCCATGAAATTTTACACAAAATCGGTGTTGAAATCGTACGCGTCATCATCGTTGTTGTGCTGCATTGAAGTCAGGTCGACGTTGACAAACTTCACTTTAGTTTCTCTAGTTGGCTCGTCTACTGAAGAGAAACAACAAAACAACTGATAGACAGAAGACATCGAAAGAAAGAGAACGTTTATTGGTGTAAATCACTAAACGACATACCTTCTCTCTTTTGCGTTGATTCCTGTATCTGCGTCTCCATCTTTGGAATGGGGATTTCAGCCTCAGGATTAAACGTGGCCAGCATCTGTGTATCATATATATATATTTTTTTTTTAAATAAACGGTTGACTTAATTCGTAAAAAAAATTGCTGCATTTAACTCAAGACACTACGGAAGCGTATTGCATTCACTTGGAAACAAAATCTACTGTTTTTCTGAATTAATGAGTTTATTATCTCAGAATTACGAGACAATTTTTCAATCATCTCAGAGCAAAAACTTTTTTACATGGAAAAATGTTTCGTAATTCTGGGATTAACTCGTTAATTCAGAAAAAAAAGAGTAAAAACTTTTTTTAAATGAAAAATTCTCAGATAAATCAGATAATTAACTCGTTAATTCAGAAAAACAGCAAAAACTTTTTTTTACATGAAAAATTGTTTCGTAATTCTGTTTTTCTGAATTAACGAGTACAAATTACGAGACAATTTATCATGTAAAAAAGTTTTTGCTCTGATTTTCTGAATTAACAAGTAAATTATCTCAGAATTACGAGACAATTTTTCATATAAAAAAGTTGATCTTTTTCTGAATGAACAAGTTTATCATCTCAGAATTACGAGACAATTTTTCATATAAAAAAGTTGATCTTTTTCTGAATGAACAAGTTTATCATCTCAGAATTATGAGACAATTTTTCATGTAAAATTTTTGCTCTGTTATTCTGAATTAACGAGTAATTTATTTCAAAATTACGAAACAATTTTTCATATAAAAAGTTTTTGCTGTTTTTCTGAATTAACGAGTAAATTATCTTAGAATTAGGAAACAATTTTCAATGTAAAAAGTTTTTGCTCTATTATTCTGAATTAACGAGTAATTTATCTCAAAATTACGAAACAATTTTTCATATAAAAAACGTTTTTGCTCTTTCTGAATTATCAAGTAAATTATCTCAGAATAACGAGTAAATTCTCCGAAAAACAAGTAAATTATCTCAGAATTACGAAACTATTTCATATAAAAAAAAGTTTTTGCTCTTTTTCTGAATTATCGAGTAGATTCTCAGAGTTACGAGACATTTTTTCATATAAAAATAGTTTTTGCTTTTTTCTGAATTAACGAATAAATTCTCAGAATTACGGGACAATTTTGCATGTAAAAAAGTTTTTTCCATGAAAAATGATCTTGTAATTCTGAGATACTTAACTCATTAATTCAGAAAAACAGAGTTGATTTTTTTTCTTCAAGTGAATGCAATACGCTTCCGTAAGACACTTGTTCAATATGCATTCTGAGAAACAATAAGATTCATCTCAGATATGGTTTGTGAATATGGGATCTACAGTTGTCAGAGAGAGATCAGAGTTGGATTAAAAGGTCATCAAGGACTTCTGTGAAGAGTAAACTCATCATTTCTCAAGGTCTCTGACGACAGAAGTGCATCGCTCATGTGAAGTACCTCATCTGTGCTGACGGCCATGTCTGTCTCCTCGGTCACCGTCGTAGTTATCGTCTCTTTAGGCAGCTCGCTAACGTCCAGCACGCCAGCAGTGGGGCCTTTAGAGCTGAAGTGTATACTGCTCGCTAGATTAGGGAACCGCACACCTGAGGACAAGTACATTTCATTTATGTTTTGCTTCATAAAATATCAAGGGTTATATTCTGATTTGTTCAATGAACTGATGTACCATTGATAACATTCTGGTTGCCCTCCCTCACCATGTCCATGTTCAGACCTGACCGCAGTTCAGTCACAATGGCATGAGAGAGGTATGAGGGGAGGTCCTGTCGCTCTGGAGCTCTGCTGTGGTAACTCAGTTTAGCTCTAAAACACACAACATAATGCTTAGGAGGACTGCGGATTCGACTTAGAAAGAAAATGGGTTTCATGGGTATTCAGAGTTGTGTACAGTGTTAAAGAGATGGATTTTCATGGCCAAAGTTTAACCTTCAAATGGCCTTTGTTTCCCGTTTACACTTCTGGGCTATATAAGTTGAGTAATTGTACAAAAAATATACATTATTTGTTTTGTTTACTTCTCATCTATTCATTAATGCTGTATTTTTGGAGATATAAAGTACTTTTGTATCCATATACCACACAATTCTTCAACTACACCATTAGCTTGCATATGAAATATTTTAAATATTTTTTATGATACATTGCATTTATGCTCTAGTACCAGGCCTTCATTTCTGTGTAAAAATTTTCAGATTTATGCCGGATTTTTTCAAGGTCCAAACTCTCATTTGGACCTTGAACCGTTTGGTTCCCATTGAAGTCCATTATATGGGAAAAATCCAGGAATGTTTATCAAAAACCTTAATTTCTTTTCGACTGAAGAAAGAAAGACATGGACATCTTGGATGACATGGGGGTGAGTAAATTATCAGCAAACTTTTTTTTTTTTAGTGAACTACTCCTTTAAAGCTACACTGTGTGATTTTTACCCCCATCTAGTGGTGAAAAGGTATATGACCATCCAGTGAATATTAGTTTCTGTTCCTCTCAATTAACTCCTACGGTGGCCAATGTAGTCCAAGATTAACTTGGCTTCCAGTTCGACCTCGTCCATGATTGTTAACTCAAACGTAAACGCGAAAGGCGAAGCTTGAATTAACGGGTATGTCCCTCTTTGGCTAATGTACTTTCAAGATGGAGGGGCAACATGGCGACCGACATTAGAAACGCTTACCCGTATGTATTTTCAATGGCATATTATACACTCACAAGAATACTTTATTACTTGTAAATATACATTAATGAGTACATATATTTTTGGAAGAACTAAGAATAAACTAAAAGAGTTACAGCTTTAAGAATGAAGTGCGATGAATAAACTGACCCCGTCCAATCGTTGAGGAACGTCGTGGCTGCCAGCTCTGTGTTGGGAATGCCACCTTTCTGCAGGAAACCGCGTTTCTTGGCTAACGTGGTCAAGAACTCCAAGGAGTTTCTGTAGTTTGGGACATTATACTGCAGCATTATCTGAAAGAAACACATGAAACGAGGTTTGCAATGCTGTATGTGGTTAAAAAGAAAAATGCAGTAATTCACCCCTCAAAAAGGATTTCCACTGTTAAAAGTTTTGCATCAGGTCGACCAATTCATCGGTTTTTCCGGATATATCTAGGTTACAGCTAATAAAACACATATTTGACCTGTAGCCTAATATTTTAATGTTTAAATTATTTTCTGTAGAAGTTCTCATTTTAATAGATGTATTTAATTTGGCACATTTCAGTTCAGCACTTGGATACTGGACTAAAAACAAACATAACACTCCATTTTAAAAAATACCGTTTAAATAATCGGTTATCAAACCTAAATATCGGTATCGGTAAAATCCACTATCGGTCGACCTCTACTGTGTGTTCACACCGGACGCCAATAGCGCGTCAAATTCACGTCTACCGCGTCTAGTTTGACTCTTGACCACTTTGTGTTAATTCGCCAAACTGACGGACGTAAAAATTTATGCGCGTCAGAATCGAAATCCGTTGGCGGCCATCTTTTTTATGTCGATCGAGCATTCATGGAGAGAGTCACTGCTCTGTGTTTGCTCTGGAGAGCAGAACAGCGGCGTGGGGATCATCGTCGCCGTATTTGTGTCCACCGGACCCTTCGGAGGCGAACCGTTTGACGAGTTCAACCGTTTGACGAGTTTCACCGTTTGACGAGTTCCACCGTTTGACGAGTTCCACCGTTTGACGAGTTTCACCGTTTGACGAGTTCCACCGTTTGACGAGTTCCACCGTTTGCTCGCTCCAGGTGCTGCGCTGGGTGACGGTCGCTGTCTTCCGCCTGTCCAGCTCTCCATTGAAACAAATGTGATTGTGTCCCTTTGTCAGTGTGAGACACAGCTGAAGAGAGAGGACACGTTCTCGAGTCATTAATATTTGATCTCCTACTGTGATTTCTTACATGCTGCTGATTGCACTGTTTGAGCAAAGCGCGTACGGCCTCCAGAGGACTCTCCTCCTTCTCCTCCACCTGGAGGCTCCTGAGGGCCAGCACGTCTCCGGGGTTACCGGGGGCCGCCACAATCCCCGGGCTGTCAATCATCTTCACACTTTTAGTAATGTGCACTTCCTGCATACATCTATAGAGGAGGGGAAGAATATCATTGAGGTTGGTATGTTGTTGAGGCTCAATGCCTTGCAGCAGAAATGCATTTTGGGAAATGAAGCTCAGTGTTGGATTGATTAAACACTTCATGTGGTGGTCAGTTCATCACAGTTCATCATGCTTCAAATTCACATATACTAGGACTCTAAAATAATGAAGCTTTACCTGGTCAATCCTCTCTGTAGGCCAACATGACAGGCTCGCATCTCTTTCAGACTGTTGATGATGCTGCTCTTTCCCACATTAGGGAAACCTGGAACAAGGTCAAGATAAAAAAATATTAAAGAAACACTAAGCAGTTTAATTCATGATGATGGAATGAGATCAATGTGGTGCATACAAATTAGGGCTGGGTAAAACATATCGATTCCTCAATTTTAATCGTTTCTCGTTTAAATCAAGAATCGATTAGGCTAGTCATCCTGTTTTCAGCTCATCTAGGGCCCTATGAAATCCGTTTTATTTTTCACAAATTCCATTTTTTCAGTTTTAATTTTTGGGAATTCATTTTTTCCCCCGTTGAATTATTTTAATCGTAAAAAGAGTGTGCTTT